TGATCAGGAACACGTAGCCACCCCAGGAAGAAACCTACATCCACAAAAACATCTTGTCAATACATCTGGGAACTCCCAACGACTCTGTAAAACGTGCTAGTGTCACATTTCCTCACCATGTAGAAGTAAGCCAGCGCACATATGGACGCCCAGTAAACGGAGCCCGTCTTTACCGCCTTGATCCACATGTAATAAGTCAGCAGCATGCAGAAGATGGCAATACCTGAGAGAGAGAGAGAGAGAGAGAGAGAGAGAGAGAGAGAGAGAGAGGGGATTCATTAAGACTTACTTAAGAGAACTTTACAAAAATAGATTGTCACATATATTGAAGTTTACCTTCATTATCATAGGAGCCGGCAACAGATCGAGAGATGTAACCAGGCACCACAGCGATCATGGCAGCAGCCAGGAGCCCAGCACCTGCATCCTACACACACACAAAGACTTGTTAGCTAGTGGTCAAAGTGTGAAACATTCATACAGCTCAGGATGAGAGAGCTGTTTCTTCAAAAGAAATGCATTTCTCTGGTTCTACTTTTTAAAGGTTTGTGTTCAAGTCAAACAAATATTTTTGTAACAAATTTTTTTTTCCTAACTTCCCGACTTCAAAATAAAGTATTCTCATTAATATAGGCGCACGGGTTTGCTTGGCTATTAGTCTAAGTACCAGAGTGAATCTTGTTGAGGATAAAACACAACAGTCAGTCATACGGGCAAACCATGGAGTTTAAGCCAAATTACACAAGGACGGTTTGCTATGAATAATTTCATTGAAGTACTTTTCCATTGAAAAGTAGGGCAGGGCATGCAGAGTTTATTTTGATGCTTTGATATATTTACTAGTTATGGCTGTTAAAGTTCCAGTGAGTGAAGAAGAAAGCAGAGCATCACTGGAGCACTTTGACTCCATCGTACTTTGTGCTGTGAGTGACTAAGCTGCTTCTAATGCAGAGTGGATCAAACACAGTTTAATAGTGTGGTGTCGCTGCTTGTCAACAGACAAGGCAGGTTACTGCTTAGGACCCCAGACCAGTAGGGGGCCTTAGGAAACCTCCCTTAGGGGGGCCCATCTAAAAGAACTCACTCTCGTTACCCTGTTAAGCGTCGCATGAGAGAGGAAGAGGAGTAGGCTGGCAGACATGATGGTGACAAACACTGGTTGGAGGGCTCCAACAGACTCTACAATCACCACTGGGCGTCCATTGACCAACTAAGTATTTATGATTCTTTTAAGTATATAATCTATAATTATTTTTATTTTTTTAAGAAAATGATCCTGTTTTAGTTCAACGATTACAAGAAACTTCCTCTCGTGCTTTGACCACTCTCTTTTTAAAGTGCAACGCTCATCCCCTTGAGTGTTCAAAAGAAAAAACATCTTTTCACATAATGGGGAGTTCATTTCTTCAAAACTCAGATGTTGTCATGTATTGAACTTGTGTGTTTTACCTTCAGCTCCTTGGTGAAGTGGTATGTCACTATTGCAGTGAAGGAGGAGAACAAAGGAGCCAAGAAGACACAGACGTTACGGATGTCGATGGTGATGTGGAAAAAGTGGAGGACGTGGTACAGGAGAGCAGAGGTGATCATCAGTCCTGAAGAGAGACGCGAGAGGGGTACAAGTCAGTTATAGTCATATAGCACAGCTCAAACTCCTCTTTACATACGGAGCACATCAACATCCTTTAAAATGATTTAAACAAGAAGAGTGCAGGTAAGATGATCAAGCGCCAATAAAGGCAGGCAGCACACAGGCATCGCCTTCTCCCTATTACCGTCATAAAGCCCTTGGACTGCTCTACTCTGGATGTTTAAAATCACAGTTTTAAGTTTTTAAGCTCTCACACTGATTGGTACCTGGATAAATGGTGCCTCCAATGATCCTCCCCAGAGGATACCATGCCCTGTCATCAAACCAGTTGTGAAACTTATAAAATCCTTCTTCTGCCAGGAAGCGGGTTGTACGGTAGTTGAAGTACCTGAGGGTGAGATGAGAGTGAAGGTAAGACATTGAGTAACTGTTTACATCTATTCAAATATCATTGGAAATGACAGGAGAGGAGCACTTACGGATCAAACTCATGGATGACACTTTCAAACCTCAAGACGGAAAAGAGTCTGGTGGAGAATGCTGAAGAGAGAAAACGTTTGTTATTACGATTAGAGGTACAAAATGTTACGTCTAGTAGAGTTGTCAGGATACCAGAATGTAAAACTTTAATACGATACGAGTACAAATCAAACAATAATGATATAGGTGTTGATACCACGATAACTTATGCATCTTTATGAGATGCCAAAAGGACTTGAGAAGTGTCCTTATGAGCCTACCTGTGAATTTGGACTATGCTCTCTCTTACTCGTTTCAGCTTTTGGTTAAAATTTTGACTGAAAATCTGAATTTTGCTATAAAGCTTCCATACTTTCCTTTACTATCTATCATTATAATAACAATTGTATCGTAAAACATGTGTATATGAAAAGTACAGCAAATTTTGACATCCTGATAGTGTAGAGAACTCACAGAGGATAGCAGCCATAGACAGGATGAGCAGCTTCAGCAGCGTGTCCTGTTTCTCATAGGACAACCGCAAGAAGCCCAGCTTGGTCATTTTGGCGAGGTTAGGGGCAGCTCACTGTACTACCTGAAGGGAGGAAGACAGAGACTGTAAGACTGAGAGCTTCAAAGACAAATACAATGAGGAGGACTTGGGAGAAAGCCAACATTGTTCCATGTAAGTTTCAAATATAGGAGGGGGAAAAATCCTGAAAAACAGTAAATCATTTCATTATACAGTGAAGTTTACTGCAGAACCAGACACTCAAGTAAGAGGATAAAAGTCTTCTGAGTTTGAAGAGTGAACTTCCATGTCCAGCCCAACCAGATAAGGCCACGCACTAAGATGTGGCGTCAGGAAACCAGGAAGCACTCACAATGGAAAACTTCTGCAGGGATTTGCGCAGGTCTTCTTCAGATTGATTTTGCAAGTTTTAACCGAACAATCAAGCCCAACAGAGCTCTTATTAGTTCCCTCTTTCATTGCACTTCCTATCAATTACAGAGAGCCTTGCAAGTTGTCACAGTTAGCCGACCTGTCCAACATCCGAGCAGGGAAATGTAGAGCTGCTAGCTGACATTTATAAGAAGCTATTAACCAAACCGTGTGCACACTTTAGATTAATCCAAGTGCTGTTAGAGATAAGACAGCCTCTCACAGCTAGTTAGCATCAAACCAGCTGCTATAGAAGGTCTTTCCATCCACTTAAAAGTGTTAGTTACGTTAGCTAGCAAGGCTAATCTGCTGCTTTCTGTACAATGAACTGTCTAGCCTCGCTCTTCTTCTCTGACTTTGTCTCAAAACTACTAGCGTCTCCTCCACATTTACCACCAGGGCAACAGGCTTTAATAGAAAAATGTTGCTACTATGAAGCTAACAGGTTTAATATGTAATGCTGAGTATGACTTACCCGCTCCGCTCCTGTTTCTCATACACTACTACCACACACTACCTTCAGCGTGGACTAGACCCGCCCTCACCACCCCATACTGCGCGTTTATTGGCCAATAGTCAGTCAATAGTAGTCTTAATCGTGTCTGATTGGTCGTTCGGCTGTCATTCAGAGTTCCTTCTCTAACTTGCCGCTGGAGTGTAGTGACGTGTCCTTAGTCCGGTGAGGAAGCGTGTCGCCCCCTACTGGTGAGAGGCCGTCATGACAACTGAATTTCAGCACTCAAAGGTAAAAACAGCAAATAAAACATTTATGAAGAAATTCGAGTGACGATTATAATAGAATTAGAGAGTAAAAAGGAAATATAAAAACAAAATACAATAAAATGTTCAGTTATTAAAAAATAGACTGAGTAAGAAAATATGCTAAGGTACCTGAAGGAGAGTTTTGGATTGAAATGTTCTGATTGTGATGAATTACAAAGTGTGCTGGTCTTTTTCCTCAGTCTGCTTTTTTTTTGCGCTGCCCTGCACCTTTATGATGAGCGTAACTACCTCAATTATTAGTTTTTAAAACATTAAATACAATATTAAAGAATAAATGTAACGTTGAAGATTTTATGATTATGTCTTCGTTTATTTGTCCTTTTTATTAATATTAATTCCAATATTTAATAATTTTATTACATAAAGTATTAGTCATTTACTTCTAAATATTGCTTTTTTAAATGTATTTTACATTTTTATTAACTTTTATTTAAAGTTATAAAAAATATTAGGCAGGAAGACCTCCACAAAACCAGCTGATGGACAGCCTGGGGATTAAATAAATTAAAAATTAATTAAAAATTTTAAATAGGTTTTAAAAAAGGATTTACTCTTATTTATATGAAACAAGTAAAAAAGCAAATTTTATGTACCTACAAATACACAGAAATAATAAATTATTTTCAGGGAAATAAAACGTTATGGTTGAAATTTGTGATTCTGTCTCCCTTTCACTGTCATTATGTTACTGCTCTATGTACCTTTGAATTGCCCCTGACCACAAATAGTGTTTTGAATTTGAAAAATGTAAGATGTCATGGCAGTAGGGTAAGCTTCAAAAATTAAATAATCCTTTATTTTATATTACAGTCTAACAGTTTTTTTAGAGACTCAAGAACTTAAAATCAAGAGGACAGTGTGTGTTGTTTGATTGTATTCAGGGTACATCATGAGATTCCTTTCTCTAATATATTTAACCTTGAGTCACCATCATGACAGGAAATGAGTAAATATCTAATAGTGATGCTGATTGACTGATTATTAAAATGAAGTATTTGGATGTAACATTATTTTATAAGAATAGATCATATTTATTATTTATTTATTTCAAGATAACTGAAAAACAAGTCCCAAATCAACAAAAAGTCTGATTTTTTTACTCAATAACTTCCTGCTCTGTCAGATCTCAATCCAGCTCTTCCTCGTCCATCGTCTTCATTCCCTCACTTTTTCAATTGAAAAAGCCGTTGCAGCAAAACCCTGAACACAGTGATCATCAAACTATTAAATACTGACCCATTTTATTGAAATAAGACGTATTACTTTTACAAAACCTCACTCACAAACACCAGTCTGCACAAACACTATGCTCTTCTTTTACAATGATTGCACACCGTTTTAAAAATGTGCCCCCCCCCTCTGTGATGAGTGAAGGGAAGGTCGGTGACTGCATGGCTGCATTGTGTGACGTCAGATTCCTGCTTTAACATTCAGGATATATTAACATTATATACAGCAACAAAAACCACACACCGGATGATTCAGAGGGACCAATCAGATTAGCTTCAGCTCTCCCTGGAAAACCAGAGCATGCAGGTCCAGGCTGAAGACTTTTAAAAAAACGGGGCTCCTTTCTAAAACTCAGAGCTTAAGTGGTTTAAGGTGAAGTGAATAAAGATGCAGCAGTTTGGCAGTGTCTTCTCTTCTACATTTAAAACTCAGGCAGCCTTTCCTTCGCTGGTGTCACCTCGTGATTCTTAAAACAGTGGGGTGAGATTTTAACATCAGACGAGACACCAAAAGACTTTTTAAGTAGACGCACAAAAAAGAGTGACTTTATGTGGTTTCAGTTTCTACCAACAGCAGCAGCAGCAACTCATTTGTATTTTCTACAAAAAAAAAGCTCTTACAGGATAAAAAAACAACCCTTCCTTGAACCTTTTTATTACACAAGGTTATTCCTGGAGCTTTTGGGACACCGTCCGTGGACAGAGAAAATGTATCCATGTGCAAGAAAGCCTTCAATCGGTGAGGAAGGAGTCCGCCTTGCAACATAAAGAAAACACGGCTCTTTGCTTCTCAATGCAAAAACCTTTAAAGCTTCTTTAGTCACAAGTCTGCTTCAACACATTAACACTACATGACTTCATGTGCTGTCATTTATTCAAAGGAGAGTCACTCAAATGGCACATTATACAAAAAAAAGAAAAAACAAAGAAAAGAAAAGAAGAAGAGCTGAGTATATAACGTGTTTTGAGTGTGAGGCACGGGGCAGTCGAGTTTTGTGTCACACTGAAAACGTGTCTGTGAACGAGTAATCAAAAGGGACAGATGGGAGATAAAAACATGTAAACCCTTTGCACGAAACCGAACATCATCTTCATCACGGGGGGAAATCACACTGAGAGAAACCCTTCATCATCTTCATCATCAACATGTGCTCTCCTGTCACCTCCAATAGATCATCACTGATTGGGCAGGGGTCTCTGGCGTGCGGGGGAGGTGTGGGGAGAGGACAGCCGCTCCGAGGAGGCAGACGACGTCAGCGAGGACTGCAGGTGGACCGTCTTGTGGAAAAGTTTGTTGCTGATCATCACGACCAGAGAGAAGAGACGCAGCTGGAAGTGACTGAAGGACGAGGAAACACAAAGTATGATCGGTGACTCGTGCATTCAAAGAAAGTGACTCGAAAGGAGACGGTGTTTATTATACTCACTACAGCTTTGTTGGCGTCTTGGCCTCGTTAGCACTGATGATGAACAGCGGGAAGAGGATGGAGAACAAGCAGCCGCTACATGGAGAAGAACAAACAGATCTTACTTCAGTTACCTTTTTTTTTCTGATGCGTTTATCGGCTCAGTAAAAAAAGATAAAAAATCGTTATGCACAGACACCTTGCACACTGAGTCTGATGAGTTTATTTTTCTATTTATTCCAAATTCGCAGTACAAGACAAAATGTCTGGTACTCATCAAGCAGTGAACATGATTTTGTGGTTTCTTTCACTCCTTAAAAAAAACCCCAGTGGGTTCATCATCCCCTCCTGAAAACAAGACAAGAGAGATGAGAGTTTCCCGATCACTTCCAGGTATATTTCAGGATGTCAGTGTTGCAGTTTCATTTGCAGCAAGCAATACTACTGGAACCACCCGTTAAAAAGAAAAACCACCAATTCTGCGAAGCAATTGATCATGAACAGCGGCACACAGTGTTTTATTTTGAAAAGTAAAGTAGCTAAGAAAGTAACTTGATGATATCTGTGTGTAAAAACTGTCCAAGAGGCATCTGGAAAATGGACCTAGCATACTCACATTAACACAAAAAGTAACAGCTTCAACCGGCAGCTTAAGATGAATAACAATATTTATGAACCTCTCTTACATGAATCAAGAATAGGAAGCGTTACCTGATGATATAAGAGGAGGGCAGGGCGGTCAGCAGAGCCATGGGCAAACCGAAGCCGAAGTAATAAGGCCAGTTCCTCTCGATGTTGGACAGCCGCTGGTGCATCTCAATGCCTACAACAGACATTTAACAGCCACAGAGTTGAGTTCATCAATCAATCAAGACATGAAAAATGTTTGTTGTAGACTTTAATGTTAGTATCTCACCGTGGTTGAACCAGCGGTACTCGAAGCAGTACAGGGAGTAGAGCAGAGACATGTGGAGGAGGCTGACCATCTGTCCGATGGCATCGATGGGGAAGAGGCTAACAATCATACCCTACAGGACCATAAAATTACAAGAGACATTCACTGCCTATATAAGTCTTTCTAAAGCATCTCGTTGACCTGAGCTAGGAGGGGAGAGATTCCTTAAAAAGAATATGCACATCAATGCAAAGAAGAAAAAAAGTCCTCTCCTCCGCTTTCTAATCCACCAGGTGTGATGCCATCAGTATTGCCGTATTTGGAAAACTCTCTGAATTGCCTGGAGAGTCTAGAAATGAAAATGTTTGCCTCATGGAGACAATGGTTCTAAAAGCTTCTGCTATTAAAGTCCAAACTCCTGCTCCATAAATTCAATGTTTCACTTTGATTATGAATGGTATGAGTGTGAGACTATTTTTTAAATTTAACATTTATTTTTTGTCTTTATTTGACAGGACAGTGGATAGAGGAGGAAATCGGGGGAGAGGGAGAGTGGGGGATGACATCTGGGTATAGGAGCCACAAGTTGGATTCAAACCCAGGTCATCCACTTCCAGGGCTGTGCCTCCCTAACTGGGATGTGACCTAACCACTAAGCCATCTGCACCCCGAGTTTGTGATTTTTAAAGTCTGCAGCCTAACTGTTACAGCTGCTCAAACATCCTGTGTCACTCTATAAAGTACGGATACAGATAAATAAAGAGAGTGAGAGAAATGATTTTGAAACAAAGGACACTTGAGAAGCAGACAAAAAGACGCACCTGAATGAGGAAGAGTGCCTGGAGGAGGAGGTTGAAGAGCATGTCTGCGATGATCTTACTGACGCTGGGGAACGGCTGGGCTTTACATCCGGATACTTCAAATGCAAGGTCAGCTATATCCTGCAACAGAGGAGAGCACTCTGATTAATGTGATGGTGTCAGTGGATATGACAATAATACACATTATAAACTAGATGAACATGTTAAGTACGAGGTAAACATTAGGGGTTTGGAGCACCTTATTATTTCATTTTGTGTTTCAAGTACGAGATAAACATTAAGGTTCAAACAGATTTCAGTACAAACCTCCACCAATGAAATCATTGTGGCGAGTCAGAACTTCAGGCTTACTCAAACACCTGGTTGTGGCTTTGTGTGTGTGTGTGTGTGTGTGTGTGTGTGCATGCTGCTGTGTTCATAAAAATATCAAACAGCATGCACATCCGAAAAACTGAAGTACTGGGTGTTGAACAAAAAACATCCAAAGATAGAAATAAATAGTCTACACACCATAAGCTGATCCAATTCAATTCAATTTAATGGGAAAATGACCACCTGTATGGTTTCGGGCCCTCTGATGAAGGGTGAAGGCTCGGAACATTACAGGTGGTCATTTGATGATAGGTGAAGGGTTCTTCTTCTGATATCTGAACGTGCCTTTCAGCTTACACAGACACAGACAGAAGTACTGATCAGACACCTGCTGGGATCATTTATCTCAATTTCTCTTATTTTGCTAACTCTGAAGTCCATTTTAACATACAAAGCTCATGTTTGCCATGTTCAATTGTTTTATTATCCAGATTCAGTTCTTTTTTGGGTCACATTTAAAAAAGCAGCCGCTAGCAGAAGGCATAATTAATCAATGGTGACAGAGCAGAACAATTTGCTGCGTACTGTAGGCTGCTAATTTAGAGCAGAGACAATGTGATTGATTTCTGGTAACAAGCTTCACGGGAGGTTAATAAACTGCAGTACTCGATGTGTGTATGAACAGGCCAACGTCCTGATACTAGATCACACATTTCAGGCATCAGAGGCTTTTATAACACTGGTATTGGTATTGCAACAACCTCTGGTCACAAAGCCAATTCCTCTCAAACAGGATACAACTTTGATACTAAGTGAATACAGCGTGATGTAGGGGGGTGACCATGTGAGCAGGGTCTCACCTGGAACCAGATGGCATTGACTATCTTACTGAGGACGAACAGAGGGAGAACCCAAAGAGCGCTGAAGACGGAGGTCAGGATGAACTCTAACCAGGACCACACACTGCCATGGAGGGAGGGATCACCTGCAGCAAAAAACAGAGCGTTCACTGACTGTCACTCCTCCACACGACAGGACCTACTCCGCATTCAAGAGCAGCCATACATACCGATGATTCTTGCTGTGAGAGTCTGCAGCAGAGGGATAAACACCCGGTAGAAGAGAAACAGACTGAGCTGCAGGGAGAAAAATAAACGCTGACGTTACTCTTCACCTCTTGCTGACACAACAGGCGACAGGGCTTGAAAAACTAGAAAGATTTGTGGACATTTCTGTGAGCTTTAAGTCGACCTTTAAGTAATTGTAAAAAACATAATCCATAATAAATGAAATCAAGACATAAAAAAGGTAAACAAAGCAACATAACATGATAGGGCAGGGATTGTCCCAAATCAATTCTTTAACCGACTTTAAGAGAAGGAAATCTGGTTTGTGGTACAGGTTAGATTTTTGTAAGAAAGAGTAAACAGTGATTTGGCTGGATTTGTTTTGGATGAATCTTTAAAGTAGGGCCCGACCGATATGGGCTTTTTAGGGCGGTTACCGATATTAGGAAGAGAAAAAATCTGACACTGATATCTTTGTTTGATTTATGTTTGATCTTTAGAAATACATATAGATATACACATTCTTTGTGTTTGTCCCTCACATGCAGTTGTCAAACACTTGCGGTAAATATATATAATAAAGACAAGATGGTTACTCAAATGGAAAGTAACTGAACATGTACATGCATCACTGCTCGACACTCTGGAGACTGATGATGCTCGTTGTAATCCATATAGCGCCCTTTGCTGGTGTAATGCAATGAAACTCAAATGAAATGCTGTTTGACTGGTGAATAAATCTAGCAATATTTGTGCATGTCTGCGATAACAGTAGCCGATACATATAGTCACTTGATATGCTAATATCGGCTTAAACACTGAGAACACTTAAGATTCAAATACTGTTATCTGAAAACAACAAAGATTTTGATTGGTAAGTGTTAAGTGCTCTTTTTTTTTCTTCTTTCATTGTATGTATGCTGTTTTTGAGTTTTTTGTTGATGTAAAGCACTTTGTGACCTTTGTCTGCAAAAAGCGCTATATAAATATACTTATATACTAATAATACATTATTATTATTATTATTATTATTATAATAAAGCGTTTTTCAGTTGAAGTTGATCTATTCTTCTAGTTCTTCTAGTTTCTACCACTTCAAGCTCCTGCCTGTAAAACACGTTCAACACTGTTTAGCTCTGTGTGATGGAGTCGTAGAGCAGTGTGATGATAGACAGCAGTGATGCTCGTGTCTGTCTGCTGCTCCTGTGACGACTGACAGTGAAGCTAGCTAAACCACCTCTGAACCAGACGGTGGAACGAGCATCCGTCTGCTGTGATCGACTCTTTTAGCTGATAGAGCAGTTAGCAGGCTGACAGGAGAGACGCTCAACCTCTCCGGAGATTCATCGTTGAAAAAGATCAGGACACACACACTCCTCTGTTCTCTGACTGTGTGAAAACAGCAGTCAGAGGAAGGTGGTGCATGGTGTGTGTTACAGGTTCAAAGTGAGACTCATGTTGACAGATAAAGGAGTTTAATGAGGATTAATGAGGGAGAAAGTAACAAGTGGACAAATGTAATGATCAGCTATATCTGACTTTAGTGAAAAAAGGTGTAGGAAGGGAGAAGAGCCCTAAACAGAAGATACAATAATATTAGATAGATTACTTAGTGAATCTCCTGAGCTGAAGCAACAATAACATTACAATCACAATAGAACGTCACAAGGTGGAAAACATTTAAAAATGACCCACATAAGAATGCTGAAGAAGTAACTGAGAGCAGCAGGGTGCAGACAGTAAAGGCAATAATAATACCAACAATCGATCAATATAATAATATATCTTACCCAGAACACTCCTCCATTCCAGGCACAGCACTGAAAAATCCTGCTCGCTACTTTGGGGTCACTGAAAGAAATAAGGTAAAAATGACAACGCCTTCCTTTCACTGTTGCATAAAAGATGGATAAACGAGTCAGACAAACTCATGGATGCAGAAAAATGTACAGTATCTTCACTCACAAGTTGAATGAAATCAGTAGTTTCATTTTTTTTGTGTACATCTATGACTGCTACAATTCAACAACACTTTTTGATTTACTCTTTTGTAAAGTTGAAGTCATGACAAACTCTGTCATGAGAATACAGATCAGTTTCCAACCACAATAACAAAGAGCCAAAACAGACTGAGGAGAATTTGTTGATCTGAGTTCAGTCCTTACTTTCAAACTGTGTGAACTCCTGCAGGATGACATTAACAAATAAAAACCTCACCAGGTCTCATCTTATATCTGCTAAATGTAGTTATTTGGTCGTTGGAGCTTATGGGAAACGGTGCACAGCATGGCAGGTGCATAAGATGTGAAACTTTAAGAGTATTGTTTATAGTGGAAATATTACAGAAGAGCTGCTACTAAATCAGACGAATGAACTATCCTCCATGAGCACATCTGTCTCTGGTTAAGAGAGATTTCATTTCAGTAGCAATTCAAAATCTGCAGCAGACTTTTGACCCTACTTGTCTGGTTTGCGCTCCTCACTCTGTGCCCGTCTCTGTGCCAGGGCCCCACTGGCCCTTCTCCTCCGCTGCTCCTCCCTTTTCTGCTGGATGCGGGCATCCAGCTTGGAGATTGTTCCAATCCCCAATATGGAGTCCTTGATCCCCTGAAGAACCCACAGAGACAGAGAGAATATGCATCAGTGGATTTTAAAAAGAAGAAGACTTCATTATAGAGCTGTTAATGTGTGTTGACAAAATATTTAGGCCAATACATTTTTTGTGTATTTTCAGACGGGCAGGTTCTGTACGAAAAGCGGTGTCAATTCTTAAGGACACTTTTCTGTTTGATAACAACCACAATGAGAAGACTTTCTCTTCTTGCTAAGCAGGAAAACCCTCTGAAACATGTAGAGCACACTGACCACAAAGCTGAGGCTTCAGGAGATTTCCAGACATTTTAAACACACCAACACAAAGACTATTTAAGAAACCGCTCCACACCATTAGAAACTATTACCAAACATATCTGTACAATTCATGCCAAGGGAGAAGTCTCCGTCATATAGGAGGTGGATAATGGAGGTCGGATGATGACAGGATGTTTGGCTGAGTGTTACTCTAATGGGGATCAATGTCTATTAGGGCGATATGGGCTAAAAATAAAATATCAGATTTTCCACAAACACAATTTATAGATAAAACTGATTTAATCACCCTACCCTAATACACTGTAATAGATGTTATGGAGCCAAAATATTTTCAGTATTAAAGACATGAAGTATTAATGTCAATTTACCCGACAGTTGTGTTGTTACGGACTCTGACCTGCTATCTGAATTAGCCACATAGCTACTGCAGTCAAGTGAGCCGTCTTTTGCAAAACCCCGGTCAAGCCAGCCGGCACTTGAAAAATGACGCGTCTATACAAGGATTTAAGGTACGGGTGCTTCGAGTGCCCAAAAAGGAAGAATGTGGCCACGTATTTCGAGAACTTGTTATTGAATATGAAATGAAAATAAAATAAAAAATGTATTACAACAATTGTAATAGCCCATTACATTTTAAGATTGTTTAAATGAATAGTTATTGAGATAATTAAAGGTAAAGTCTGCTCAAATTGCATAGAGACACTTTGATATATTAGTCATGTCTAATATTTTATTTTGAAAAATCTATGACAGGTGACAAATATCTTTCAACTGATTCTTGTTCCTCATGTCCCTGACTGTTATCCTGAGAATTTTCAGAAGATTTTACTGTATAATTTTTGATATAATTATAAGGTAAGGTAAATTCTGTTCAAATTGCACAGAGACACTTTGATATTTTAGTCCCGGTACCAATAAATGAGGAAACAGAAGATACACAGAATTGTATCAAAGAAAAACATTATCTTTGGACCTTGTTGTCGCTCAGCCAGTTCACATCCAAACTGATGGTACACGAAGATAAAGTTGTAATAAATAGAAAATGTTGTTCAACTGTCCTCATTTGTCCTGGACCAAAGCACATAAAACTTTAACTGAAACCTCAGGGGATTTGTCTGCAAACATTTCCCCTTCATGAACCATACATTAGAGCAATACTGCGCTCCCTAAAAAACATACAATGTACATATGACATCATAAGAGGCCTTTATCATACAATTATTTAACAGCTATAAGATGAAGCAAAAAAATAAAGAAAGTGTTGCTCTCTTTTTGTTTGCCTCTGAAGTTCAGGACATACGCTACCTGTCTTTTTGTCTTGACGCATATAAGGGTGGTTAATTATTCCAGGTGTACCTCATAAAGTGGACAGTCGGTGTATGTCTCTGCTCTTTCAAGAACAGCTAAATTAGTACATTAGTGTTAAGTCATGAATCTATAAAGCTTCAATGAACTAGACTCTTGTGCCTTGTGTTTTAGCTAATGTGTGAGTACAACGGTCCCTTTGTGTGTGTGTGTGTGTGTGTGTGTGTGTGTGTGTGTGTGTGTGTGTGTGTGTGTGTGTGTGTGTGTGTGTGTGTGTGTGTGTGTGTGTGTGTGTGTGTGAACTTACCGTCGCAACATTGCGGAGGAAGGCCCTGACGCTGTCTGTCATCTCTGGACCAGCTGCAGATCCATCAACTGCAGAAGGAGGGGGGGCTAGTGACCTGGTGGTCAGCTCTCATGGCAGGGAGGGGCTCACCCAGTAACCTGCAACAACACAAAACAGAAATAACCAGGAGGAAAGGACAACAGTTAGCAAGCTGAACGCTTTCTGGAAAAGTACAAAAACCACAAGCATTGAGATAATATAAAACCCAAGAGGACTTTGTTACTAGAGAAACATTTGTGACTTGTGAGGGGAATATTCTGAAGTAAAACTCTTGCAATATCAAATACAGTTGACTTGTTTTTTCTCATACTTCAGTTTCAGTGGGGCTGCTCAATTAAAATATAAAGACGGGGCGCTGGTGACACAGTGGATAGTGCGCGCCCCATGTACGGAGGCAACAGTCCTCCAAGTGGGCGGCCCAGGTTCAAATCTGACCTGTGGCTCCTTTCCCGCATGTCATGCCCCACACTCTCTCTCTACCTGATTTCTGACTCTAACGACTGTCCTTTCTCTCTAATAAAGGCACAAAAAGTCAAAAATAAATCTATAAAAAAAAAATATATATATATATATATATATATATATATATATACACAAACATTGGAGCGTTCAGCAGTAACATGAATCCATTTAAGCAACACTGCAGGTCTGGTAATCGCTGGTCTTATCTTAACCTTCATTATGCATGGCATTAAGTTTAACATTTAACTCAACTTTTTTTTTTTTAAACTAGCTGCCCAGCCGGTGTCAGCTTACAAATTCCAAACAGAAATATTTGCCCCCAGGGGGCAATTAAAGGCACATAAAGCAGTAGAATGAAGACAAAAATAAGGAGCAGCAAACACAATGCAATATAGACTAAAAATACCTAATTAAAATGCAAAACAGATAAAGTAGACTGAAGAAATTAGCGGACAGCGATTGGACTAACAGCATGAGACAAATGTAAACAGATCTGTAAAGTGGACAAGATGCTTCAGACAGTTTGACCATATTCATACAAAATAATCACAATCATAAAGAATTTTCCCAGTTACATGAGAATCAAACTTTCATGTACAGTATACAATAATATTACATTATTTTAAAAACAGTAACAGCATATTTCAAATGAGCTGTTTTGTTATCTTCCTCCAGATTGTGAAGTTTGGAGTCTATTCTGTGCGTAATCCCCTCTGATAAAAGTTTGTGTCATAATAAAATCTCTACAATGAAATTAAGCACAAGCTCATTTGTGCTTTGTCACTTCTCGCTCTATTTTGATTAATTAAAAAAAAAAAATCTATTTTTCATCCAATGTGGTGCTTAAAAATTTAAGAAATCATTTTTTATCATGAGAAAAAAAACGACAAACAACTTCATGGATGTTATTTAAATAATAATTAATTAATTAATTAATTAATTAAAATAAATAAATTAAAATAAAATAAAATAAAATAAAATAAAATAAAATAAAATAAAATAAATTTTTAAATGGTCTCTTGCTGTGAGCTAGCCAAACTGAAATGATGACAGCACAGCTAACGCTAATGTCTGCTCAGTGAATAATGTTGATTTATTCATAACAATCCCTTCAATGTGTCTTCATGCTACCGTAACAAAAAAAGCAAAAAGCAAAGCGTGACATCTCCAACTCAGAAATGAGTGTTTGTCAGTGACACAGTAATAATGTGAAACAGTCTGTCTCTGTGTTCATGTTTGTGTGAGTTAGCAAGCTGACTCAGTGTGTTAGCTCAGAAAGATGATAGCCAGCACTCAGTGATGTAAGGTAGCTCTCCACGTCTTACACAAGAGTCTGATATGTGAAAACCATAAATATGAATTCAGTGTGGACAGACTCTGGTTTTCTTGTTTTAGCTAGCTAGTCTGTGTCGGTAGCTACACGTTAACGCTCAACTACTTTAACTGTTGTGTGTTTTTCCCTTAAAAAACGTGTAAAACATGTAAACTCAGACACAGAGCACGCAGGTAACTGTGTAGTCTTTCTTACCTCATACGACAGGCTGCAGGGTTATAATAACTTAGTCAATTCTCTCTTTTGCCCCCCCTTTAATGTGACAACAACAACAACACCAAACTGATACTAGCAGCAGCCAGGGCCGTGGCAAACATATTGCGCAAGCTCCGACTCCGAGGGCTTATGGGTAATGTAGTCCTTCTTTAATACAAGACTCATGGCCAAGGGAAAGAAAGGGAGTGTAGGAGATATTTATTGGTTGTTAGAATTAGTGTGGTCTTTAGTTTAGTGTTGTTGTTTTTTTAGTTATTCAACACGTTTTCTTTATTTAGAATAGATTGTGGTTATTTTTTTCATTTGCTAGTTATTTGTTAAATAAATAATTACATTTAGTTTTGCATTAGTATTGTTGTTAGGTATTTGGGTAACGCATGTGAGGCAGGTAGAGGACCAGCATGCACCTAGGTGGGCCTATGTTTTTTTTTTTTTTTCCCAGCACAAGAGAGGCAGCAGGATCCATGATTTTCTTAGTTCTTTTGTTTGCTTGCTTTTGACCAAAGAAACCATCAGAAATATTTTGCATTGACATTGGACTTCTTTAGCCTGCGTACACCACATCCCCATGGTGCATCAGTGGTCATTTGATTATATTCGATATAAGTTTATTTTGATTTTTTCAGACAAATAGCCACTACAGGGAGAGTCATCTTAAACTTAATTAAACAGCGCCAGAAACAATTACTGGAACCTGTGTATAATTGCTGTATAATAATAAGTATAACTTTATTTATATAGCACCATTAAGAGCATTCTTTAGCATCGTTTAGGGGCGCTGGTGGGCTAGTGGTCAGTTCACACGCATTATGTACAGCAGAGAAATTATAGTCATCAAAGCAGGCAGCCTGGGTTCAAATCTGACCTGTGGCTTCCTGTCCTGCAAGTCATGCCCCACTCTCTCACTTCCTGATTTACGATTCTATCCACTGCCCTGTCTCTGTAATAAAGGTATAAAACCCCCCAAAATAGATAGATAGATAGAATCTTTTTTCAAAACAGCGCACTGGTTTACAAGATGCTAAAACAAAAGCATAATAAGAACAAGAAAGGAAAATAACCCAAACTCAGAAGGAGAAAAACAACAGCACAATAGCCACAACAACAAAAAAAAACCACCCAACAGTAAAAGAACCCATACAACAAAATACCCAACAAACATTATTCGTTATGGTTGGTTTAAATATTTAAAATATTTAAACCAACCATCACAATAATCGTAAGACCCATCACAAGAACCATTATAAGAACCCAGGCAACACAAGAACCCAGCAACATGCGTCAAGACCAACATGACCAAAGATTTAGGGGGACTAAGCAACTTAAAGTAGAAGAAGAAACAATAATAAAAAGAGCTAAAAACAAATAAAAAACAGCAATAAAAAGGTAAACACAATAAAAGAGGTGTGAGTAATAAAAGCAAGTAATTAAATATTAACAGAGGTAATCATGTATACAAAAAAGATTAAGGTACTAAAATAAAGCATGACTAAATGAGAGCATACATTAATGTAATATTTAAACTAATGAAGCATTAAATAAGCATTATTTTTTCCCCTTATTGTCAAATTTTACTAGATTTGTGACATTATTTCCTCACACACTTGTTTTGGAGATCAGTGAAACTTTTGCAGTTTAAATGTCGATGTTTTAATAATAATGATTTCTTTAATGAGCTGGTGTAGTAAAATTTGCCAACAATGTTTTGCAAACCAGAGAGTAACACACTCACACACACCACACACACACACACACACACACACACACACACACCACACACACCACACACGCACGCACACACACACACACACACACACACACACACACACACACACACACACATACACACACACACACACACACACACACACACACACACACACACACACATACACACACACACACACACACACACACACACACACACACACAGTTAATGAGGTGTGAGAGGTCTCCATGGCTCTGCAGGGTCACTCCCACGAGGCGGTGCGTTACTAATGCGTTACGTTCATCCGAGAGCTGGGATGCTGCTGAAAACTAAACTCCACTGCTGCACTCTGAGTCACAGGAGTCACACACACACACCGATGGTTGTCCTGAGGATAAGAAATGTGCACAAAAGAAAATATGCTCTTATCAGCCTGTGCATTGTTGGCTTCATCATGTACAGATATCTCAGGTAAGTTTCTCAACAGCATTCTTTAATATCTGTTCAGCTTGATCTACTTTACAACTTAAGACGTACAGAATGCATCAGCCTGCCTTGTTACTGCAAAATATGACGCCTACATTTGAACAACAATGCTGCAATTCTGCAAGACAAAGTGTGTCATACTTTATTATAAATTGTCACAGATGTTGTTCTTGTTTTATCAGGTGGAGCATCTATGAAGTTAAAACATGGATGTAGTCTAGCTTACTGAGTTTTAATTCAGTATATTATAAAAATGTTTGGGGATGAAGAGCTATAAGGGAATTTAAAGGTAAATTTAAAAAACAAAAATGTATGATCAGTCAGAAATGCAAATATGACGTGCTGCACTTATCTGATGTGTTGATTTCTATCTTGCCTGATAATTCAAATATAGTTTCTGAGGTTGTGTTTGCCTACAAAATACTTTTGCAAATTCCTGTCAGGCACATCATGTGGTCCATTCATGCACAATAGCCAGTGTGCTGTATTATGCGAGTGTGACACAAACTACTTTTCTTGTTCCAGCATGCCAGCAGGGGGACGTAGGCTGAGCAGGAAGGTGGGCCTGAGTGCAAACTCATCGCAGTTCACTCTGGAGGGAGAACCCTTCAGGATCCTCGGTGGGTCGGTCCATTATTTCCGCGTGCCGAGGGCCTACTGGAGGGACCGGTTGATGAAGATGAAGGCTTGTGGACTCAACACCCTCACTACGTAGGAAAACTTATCCATCAGCGATGTGGTTTGTTGCTAAAGGTTGTTCTGATGTTGAATATTGACAAAGACAACCGTCCATTCTTTGCAGGTATGTGCCGTGGAGTCTGCACCAGCCAGAGAGAGGGGTCTTCAACTTCCACACGCAGCTGGATTTAGAGTAAGAAGAAGCGTGACTCTTTCTGTACCTGAATGCAAAGTAGACTCACATACAGTATTATTGCAGCCTGTACGTTCAATAAACAACATTTGCAACATAACAAGCCCTTAAAAGATTAAAAAGAACTTGCACTGAAAATGCAACAATTAATCAAGAAATCAAAAAGTTCGTTGAGAGAAAGTTTATTACCAGCTGTCATTTCAACCATATTTTAAACAAACATGTTGAAAGGTTTCCAGCTTCTTTAATGTGAGGATCTGTTGCTTTTCTTTGTCGTTTATGATGGTAAATGAAGAATTTCTTGTATTTGTACTTTTCTTTACAACTTCTATAGAAAATGAATAATCTAAAAAAAATTGGCAGATTAATTGCTAATGAAAATAACGGCTACATGAAGCCTTTGCACGGAGGTACACAACAGAAGAGAAAACACAACAAAGACCATTAAAGGAAAGTGAAACAAGAAATAAATGCCAGTTATTTAAGGAAAATGTATTTTAAAGTAAGGTAAAGGTGTAAGAATTAATGATGAAAAATATTGTACTATAGTACAAATAATATTATAAAACATAAACAATTAAAAAGATTAACTTAAGTAACTTCACTTTTTAATTGTCTCTGTGTTTGATGGTCAGGTTTTTTTTTATTGAGCATATTTAAAGTATGTGGGGCATACATACAGAAAGCAGATTTTAATAACTTAATGAATGTGTGTGACCTGCAGGGTCAGTGGGCTATGCTCTCATTAATACAGAAGCCCTAAGAGGACATGCATTCATACATTTTATGTTTTGATTTTGTTTCCCATGACAGTGAGTACATTTCGGGTGTTTTCTTGAGATCTTGACCTTTTTACCTCGTTATCTCAGGGTTCCAGTGCTGGTTTTCCAGTAATAACGAGTTAATCTGAGGTGTTTTCTGAAAAAAATGTACTTGACCGGGAATCACTAATCATCACAGGAAATTATAATGGTTGGATGTATGTCCACTTTAGGCTTCCGTACATTAAAGTGAATATGCAGTTTAAATAAAAGTGTCTGTAGTAAGGAGTAGAACACCTTACATCACCTCTTCTCGTTAACATCTCTAACAACGTTACCTTCTCTGAGGTGCATTGGGAATACTCTCCTTTTCTTCTAATCATCTCTAAGCCTCCGTGCTTCAGGGACAAGCTCGAGGCCGAGAGGTCCCACCTGACAACAGCAACATCTCCTAAACAACAGCAACTTACCAAGCAATTAGCAACACAGCAGCATGAGGAGGGATGAGACGCCTCAGACTGCTGCGGTTGTTGCCGAGCACATTTCACACTCCTTAAACAATAAGATATGTGGCTTCACTCTTCTGAACTTTGTGTTTGTGAAGAAAAAAATTATTTTTATGTTTCTGTTCGTATTTCAGAGCCTTTCTCAATCTTGCTGCTGAATTGGGACTTTGGGTGATTTTGCGCCCTGGGCCGTACATTTCCTCTGAACTGGACCTCGGTGGACTGCCGAGGTTAGGATTCTTTACGTAAAAAAGTATTTGACGAAAAATGCTTTTAAGCTCATCGGAATTATTTCAATTATTCATTTGTTTTTTTCAGCTGTATTTAATCAGGAGATACAAAATCTTCTCAACAAGGGAGTCAAAACATCACCAAAAAAATAATCTCATGAAGAACAAACAACAGGCTGTCTGTGTGAGCCTGCACAGTCAATGTCGCCTGAATTCGATTTTTCACCAAAAGAAAGACGACGTTTGTTTCTTTGCTTAAACCCAATTTCACCCTCAGTTTCTTCGTAAGACACTCAAAACTATACGTAAGACAGATTTATTTTTCAGGAAAAATCGAAGGCACTCATTAAATGCCCTCATTGTTCAAAGTATAAATCCAACAACAATAATCTTTAACTCTCCTCTCTGACCTAATGAAGCACATCTTTTTTGTTTGTGGCAGTAAGAACAAGAATCCACAAAGACTCCCCTGGTTAACATTAAAAGCAACTTTTATTCCCTCAGTCACATTCACTAAGGAAGACAAAGAATAAGAAGTATATATAATGGTATCGTCATCATAAGATAAAACTTTGCGTTAGTATCAATTTTACAGATGATATTAATATTCTTTATAAATAGAGAAGGACCCAGAATAGACCCTTGTTGAACACCATTCATCAATTAATTTCCGTTATTTTATTTTTTGCTTTTATTTTGTTAGATGAAAAGAATAGTGTTTTATTCTAAGTCAATGTCATTTTTAGATTTCATTAAAGACGATGAGATTTTTCTGAAACCAGACTGAGAAACATTAAAATAAATGCCAGGCTAGAAAATGTTATTATGGTACAAATCTGTCATAATTGTATTTTTCAGTTTTAATGATTTTGGCAGGACGCTGTTTCCAGAGCAAGAAGACAATCCTTTTATTACCTTCAAAACTTAAAAGAGTTTGTAAAGCCATCCCTCGATTATTTTAACAAAAAACATCTGATTTTGCTTTATGTCTCCAAGAGAAATATCTGTTTCCCAAGAACTATTTCCATTCAGATTGACATTTGGATTTTCTTGCAAGGAAGATGCAGTCATGAATGTTATTGTAAAGGTTATTTGAAAACAATGAGTTGTCATGTCCTTTCACCTTTAATTATCTAAGAGGAGCGTGCTTATTTATAACCTCTAAAAATAGATTTTTTTAAATATATGAAGTCTAGCTCAGGGTATGCAATCTGAATCATTTAACCCCCGTCACAAAAAGAAAGGTCATGCTTACATTTTACTGTGAGGTAAGACATGCTCTGTCTTTTTGCATGGTCCTGAACATGACACTCACGCTTGCCTCTGTTCTTGCAGATTTGTGCCTTTAGTAATAAATGATCATTTATGATGTGTTTTGTGTTTCTTTGCAGCTGGCTCCTCGGAGACAGCAGCATGAGACTGAGGACGACTCATCCAGGATTTACTGAGGCTGTCAACACTTTCTTTGACAAACTTATACCACAAGTGGTTCCACTGCAGGTAGCTGCTTGTAACTAATGCCAAAGTTTGGGTTTTTCCAGATCATTTTATTAGACATGCTAATAACAGCAATGTTTGTTTGTGTTTTTTAGTTCAAGAAAGGAGGTCCCGTTATTGCAGTGCAGGTTGAAAATGATTACGGATCCTATGCAAAGGATGAAGGTTACATGCTTTTCATTAAAGAGGTATTGTTATGTAGATTTTTATCAACATTACCTTAAACCTACATGTACATATAGTGGTTTATATTAATGTTCATGTATTCTGATTGTTAAAAGGCTTTGCAGTCCAGAGGGATCTGTGAGCTCTTGTTCACATCAGACAACCACAACACGTTAAAGTCAGGAGGTGTGGATGGAGGTACAGTATATCCTCAAAACACACAAAAAATATAAAGATACACAAACATGCAAACACAAAACTTATCCAGTGTTGTCTTGTGTTGCAGCGATCAGATCTGTGAAGCTACAGAAGCTGAATCAGAGAGACCTCCAGGATCTGAATGCTCTCCAGGTGTGTACTTGACCCATCACTTCACTGTCTGTCACTGAAGATGAGTGTAATAATGTTGATCATTTCTATACTGTTTTTCAGCCTAACAGCCCCACCATGGTGTTGGACTACTGGACAGGATGGTATGACGTGTGGGGTGAGCTCCACCACGTGCTGCCCCCTGAAGGTGAGGAGGGATCTTGTTATGTGACATAATAGATAATAACAGTGTTGTAGTCAGACCGAGTCAAGACCAAGACCAAGGCTGGGGCGAGACTGAGACAAGCCCAAGACATTTTGGGGTTGAGACAGAGTCAGGTGGCAGGTACATATTCTTTCCAGAAAAGAAGCATAGATAATCTAAATGTTATCACTTTATTTAAGATATGTTTAATTAATATGCTTACATTCAGAATAAGTTGGTGCAACTGAGAATAGTTGAGTTTGTCCTGAAGACGTGTATGCATGCGCTCTCCCTTTTTTTTTATTTACAAGGAAAATCAACAGTACATTTCGTATCTATTCTACGTCACTATATCCATGCCGTTCCCATGAAAATTCACTGTAAATTCTAATTGATTTTAATAATTTTTTAGGCTTTTTGCCTACAAAAATCTAAAGATTTATGTGACATGCATGCACTGATATCAGCCCATAAGCTACTTGTTACAGTTAAATCACTTGCTGCCTTTTCATAAACTTTGTATTTAATCTAAATTCAGTCATAAAACAAAACTCATATCTAAATACCTCCTAACTCACTGTGAGATAGATCATATGTTTGTTTATTTTCCTCTTGCTTTCCTTTTTGCACAATGACACCAGCTGCACGACGACAATGTAAATGTAAATATGGAAATCAGGTGTAACCTATTTATGAGAGAGTTCCTGCAGCTCTCGATGAACAGGATGAAGTCGTCACATTTTAAATTAGTTTACATTAAAAAATCTGAATCCTCTTGTCAGACATGGTGTCCACAGTGAGAAAAATCCTGAGGCATGGCATGTCGGTGAATCTTTACATGTTCCACGGAGGCTCCAGTTTCGGCTTCATGAGTGGAGCGCTGTCTGACCCTTCATACAGAGCTTTGGTCCCCAGCTACGGTAGGTGTCATAAACAAAGTAGCTTCATCTTTGATGCAAATCTACAAAGATTGCTTTAAAATGAGGAAGCATTGACACATTACACCTGAGAGTACTGGATCAGCATTGACTCAAACAGCCAGCAGGTGGCAGCACATGATCGTTATTCTCAGTTGCACTACAATGTTCCTTAGACTACGATGCCCCCTTGACTGAAGCTGGGGAGTACACGCCAAAGTATCACCTCCTGAGGGATTTACTTTCTCGATACAACAGTGAGTTAAACCCTACATTTAAATGAGAACATATACATGTGAATAGCTCAGTGACTGGTGTCTTTTCTGTGCAGAAGGGGACAGCTTCCCTGACATGCTGGCCCTTCACTACAGGGAGTCTTATGAACCAGCCATCATGTACCAACACCTGTCGTTATGGGACGCTCTGAGCTTCACTGAGGGAGTATGTTTTATGTAAGATTATCTGTCACTAATATGTGCAATGATTAGAATTTTGCTTTTCAATCAAAAAAGGTCATTTTACTGATGTGTTTGAATTTTCTGCAGCCGTTTAAGTCGGCTGAGCCAGTGAGCATGGAGAATCTACCTGTGAACAACGGGAACGGACAGTCTTATGGATACACGCTGTATGAGACCACCATCACCAGCGGAGGAAAGTTAAAGTCAAAAGACAACGTCAGAGACCGAGCCTTGGTGAGTCCTTATTGTGCAGGAGGGCTTAATATTCCCTCACACTTTTATAGTTTGGATGTGCTTTTCTTCCATTTATGATTTCATACTTTTTGATTCACAATACCTTTATAATCACTGAAACTAAATTTAAAGGAAAACTTGAATCATTTTGGTACCATGCTTTTTTGGTCACAAGCGAAAAAAACAAACAAATATCTAAAAATAGAATAAATCAAATGTCTCCTGACTGCAAAAAAACTTAAATTATGTGTCATCAGTAGTGAAGTTTATGTATGAATGTGTGTGAATGTGTATGTGCTAAACTGAACCGGAGATAAAAGTCATTGTCAGACTATGGATTCTCCAAACCAGAGCCAGAAGACCCGAGCAAGAGCCAGAGCCAGAACCAGAACCAGAACCAGAGCCAATAAGCTGAAGAGCCAAGGAGTCAGAGTGCATGAGGGAAACCAGCAGATCTTAAAATCTTAAAATTGCCATTCAACTCAAAAATATTGACATATTATTTCTGGTCTATATCGCCAAGCCCTAGAGTGAAACATCTGCAGGGAATCCAGATGCAAGATATGAGACATGATTTGATTAATGAGCAGGTATTGTTTTTAACATTGAATAAAATCCAGCTATCTATTATCCACTTTTTTCTGCTGAGCTAACTGGACAAACTCTTGGGAATCTTACACCGTGCCCACAAATGCCAGTCGGGTTTCAGTGGATGAAGAAATTACCAATCTGACTGCCCAGTATCATTTCACAGGAACTACTGAGGTTCCTGTGCCTCAGAGTCCCTTCCCTGATAATGTGCTGGATATCTCAAATACCACTAAGAAGAGGTACCCAGATTTAAAAAGCATTGGGTTCCCTTCCCATGGATGAAGATATTGACGAGGAAGTGCCTGATTTGTTCCCCCAGCATCTCAGAGTAAGAGCTTGGGAAATCCCTCTGGCTAAAAGTCCTCCACTGTCAGCGGCAGAGCTTCATACAAGAGACATTCCCCTGAGCAAGGACTCAGATTTGCCTTACATTTTCCCAGATTTACATGATGACGTTCCTAGTGTGATACCCCTCAGTGAGGCAGACATTCCTCTGCCTAGTGATGATAAGTGGGCCATCACAAACACTGTGGAAAACATGTTTTCTGATCTAAAAGTTAGTCTCTGGATGATCAGTTGGAAGCTTTATCAAAAAGAGGGCTTGGGGGATGTCTCTGCCTGGAGACAATAAGGTGGACACTGCAAACACCATGGAGACCCTGAACCCAGATCTTAACAAAGTCAATCTTCCTTCAACTTCACCCTCATCTGATCATTATGGAATAGATCATCTTCAGGGTGAAGACTCAAATCTTGCCTTGCCTGTTTCCAGCTTTAGATGAGGAAGATCCTGGACTGATGCCCCGTAGCCTATTGGCAGACATTCCTCTGCCTCCAAAGTCCATTGTGCTGAACATAGATGCTGATGAGGGGGAATACCCAGACATGAGAAACAAAAGGGTTCCTTCTCTGGATGGCCCCATTCATGAGGCATAGTGTTTGAAGATAAGAAGGTTTTTCTTCTCCAGATTATGAAATTCCTCAGAAGCTATACTCACGCTAATGCTTCAGCAGAATCAACAATCTAGAAGTCTGCTGACATCGTGCTGGATATTGGGCGGTCTGATGAGAGCAAGGGGAAGAGGAGGAGGGCTTAAGGGTATCTATAAGGCAGGTTGAACATCTGGAGACGAGGACTATCCCTGGTGATTTGATTGGGGGGGATACTGGAAGCATCTTCACACTGATTCTCTTAAAAGAAGTTTGCAAACCTAAAGTTTAATTGAATGCACTATATCATCATTTATTTGACAGCAGTATTCTTCTTCATAGGTGTTTGTAGACAGAAGCTACATCGGACTCTTCAAGCGTAAAAACCTAGAGCTGGCGGTTCCTGATGGTAAGGTATGGCATTGAACATGTTTGACGGAGAAGGCAAACCACCAATAAACCAACAGTAATTCATAGTAATGTGATGTGATGGATGCTGAAGTTGTGGCTGTAAAAACTTGTCAAAGGCATAAAAGTGATCACTCCCTGCAGGGACGGCGCACTTTGAGTTTATTGGTGGAAAACTGTGGACGAGCTCACCAGGGACGAGACCTTGACAAACAACACAAAGGTGATTGACAGACAATATGCAGTTCATTGTTTTGCCTCCTATTAAACCACTCAAACACTCAGAGTGTAGTGAACAAGCCAATTTTGAATTGTGTTCCTGCAGGCCTTGTGGGAGACATTTTATTAAACAATATCCCCTTGCGGGATTTTACAATATACAGCCTGGATATGAAACCCAGCTTTATTGATAGGTTTGTACGCTTTATTAAATCTAAAGCATTTATTTCACTTTCATTTCGCTGTAATATTGTGTTCAAGTCAATGCCTTATTTCAGTCTCTATCAGGCACCTTGGAAAACGCCTCCTGAAATTCCCAGCTTCCCTGGATTCTTTATAGGGAGGCTGTTTGCGTACGGATATCCGAGTGACACATTTGTAAAGCTGCCGGTAAGTAAAACGAACCATATAGTTTACCCTCCATGCATGTGTGCTTTGCATCACAAATACTATGCATTGTGAAGTAATACTTTTTTTGTTGTTGTCGTCAGGGCTGGGCAAAAGGTGTTGTGTTTATCAATGGGCTGAACCTTGGTCGTTACTGGTCAATCGGCCCTCAGCAGGCGCTCTACCTCCCCGGTCCCTTCCTCAACAGCGGAATAAATCAGGTACAAACAGTGCACAAATCTGTTGTTAGAGGAGGAGCAAATTTGTTCATTTTCTTCTTGCAAAGATTTAGATTAGGAGATTGATACTATTCACATGAATGTACCATAGACTGCATATAGGAAGTTGAGAGAATTTGAATTTGAATTGAATTTGAATGTCGCAGAGGCTTGATGTGGAGACGACATCATCCCCCCTCTTTGCTGCTTCAGAGGTAGTAATATGTTACATGGTAACAGGTGTTACATTGGTAAGACAGGAGCTGCAGAAACAGCAGGGGTAAACAGCGCTGTGTGTGTGCGCATGTCTTTCTCTGTGTATGTGCAGCGTTTATAGACTGGGATACCAACATTAGGCCAAGGCAGAATCAATATGAAGGTCTTAAAGAGGACATATTATCCCCCTTCTCCACCTTTTCAAACAGTCCCCTGTGGTCTAAATGAAACATCTGTGCTGTGCTTTGGTTAAAATACAACATGAATGAAGCACCAGAGGAGGTTTGTGACCCAGTATAAACCAGCTCTCTCAGAACGCTCCGTTTTGGTGTGTGTGTCTCTTTAAATGTAATGAGCACCCCCCCCCCCCCTGAGTTTTCCCAGTAGACATCACTCCTCTTAAGCGAGAATAAAAATGGCGGACTTGCAAAAATGTTTTGTTCTAGGCTGGGGGTAGAGTCCATGGGTGGAGATATCAGGGGAGCGGAGGGGATTTCTTTTTACCAGAATCCCACTGTGACGTCACAAGGAGAGCAAATTTGAAACAGAGCATTTTTCTCTGTGTTGTAAGACTTATGCAGACCACAAACAAAGTACTGAATGGGTTTATTTCACATTTTGTGGGTCTGTAGACACTCAGGTTACTCAAATATAAATTTTTAAAAAACACTGTACCAGTGGATTTTTCATAATAAGGTAATGACAGCGGAACTTCGCTACAGTGCTGTACAGAATTGCGCTATGAAAAGGGCTTTAGGGAACTAAAAGGAGTGTCTGCACTCCCAGCTCACGCTTTGCAAGAAAATTCACATTTAATATAAAAAGTTTAACTGTTTTATCCTTGCATTAAAGGGTTGTTCACATTTAACGTGTAAAAAAGAAGCAAGGAAGTCTAACTGTCTTTGTCTCTTACTCTTTCTGTTTAAATTTATTAGGTCGTTGTGTTTGAGGAGCAGGAGGGTGACTACAAGGTTCACTTTGAGGACACACCTGACCTCGGCATGGCAGCAGACATCCAGTGACTGTCATCACTGCTTACATTGTATTTATTTGGGGGAAAAAATCAGGGTGTCAATGTTGTAAATATATTTTTCATATTTAATATGTTGTTTGTTTATATGTTAGATTTAAAAAGTAATATATGTTTACATAAACACAGACAAGTGTCAAAAAGAGACAGAGGCATGTTTGTATGGGAGCATTTTATAACTTTATACATACAGTGCACTACCTTCAATTACTGTGATTCTTTAGACATACAGCAGAAGTACTCAGTTTGTTCTCTTTACCATGGATTTCCTCTTATAGAGTCATAATTTATGTTTGTGGATGGCTGTTATAGACATGATTGTAAAAATTGTTCCTTGTGTGAATATTTTGGGCAGTGCAGTCATGGAAATTAATCACATTCTCACAGTGACATCTTTTCTCCGACATCATGCTCAGTTATGCTGCTGTGTTATAGGTATGAAAATAATAATCTGAGGGAATTCTACAAGATTTAATTTAGTAATTTCTTGACTGATAAGTACAGAAGTGCATTGCATTCACCAAAGACATTTTTTGGACCCCTTATCTCATAAAAACTGCTCAGTCTGATGGATGATCAGACACCTTCGATTACTTTATGTAAAAATCTCTCTTGCATGCACAAAGATGGAGAAACAAGTTACAGGATAATAAAAAATGATCTCCTCCTCTTCATATGTTGGGCAAGGTACTGGTTAAATGTAGTGAGCTAAGCTACGAGCTACTCAACATAAGCTTCACTACACCAAAGCTACCACTAGGAGAAATGTAATGAGTTTCAGCAATACGTTAAACATAGCTTGTCACCTAAGGCTTTTTTTAATTTATCATTATCATAATATTTTTACTATTGAAGCAATTTTGGTGACGTCAATGTCAATGCTTTTTTGTATTTTGAGTTGGACTGCTCTGTGCTAAAATGATGAGTCTTTAATTTCTGTTGCTATCTCTTGCGCTGTCTTTTTTTCATCATTTAATGTGACGCCTGCTCCTGAAAGGTGCTATATAGATCAACTTTGCTGACTTATTTACTGAGGCTAATTGGCCAGCTACTGACAATTAACCATTTTCCCCTATGACAGAGGTTGTTCAACAACTTTTTTAATTGAACTAAATACATTTGGTTTAACATACTCTACATTTAATATGCTGACTTGTTTTTGTTACAGCCAAATCAATGTTTTTTGAGCAAACAGTCTTAGACAGTGGTTCCCAAAGTGGGGGTCAGGACCACTTTGGGAGTCGCGAGACACTGAGAGGGGGTCGCGAGATTTATTCCAAAAACATATACACATTTTTAAATAGCATATCTTGTCCAATAATGTGAAAATACAAACAAAACATAGCTCAAGAGATTACGTGTGTTCTGCTTCTAGTAATTCTCTTTGGGCTGTTCTAATGCCACTATTTGGATAGGCCTCATAGTCTGCCCGGCTGTGTGCAACATTACATTCTTTTACCACCTTCAGGAACAATGGGGGGTCCCCAGTTGTTAGCACCGTTATTTTGGTGGTCGCAGGTTGAAACATTTGGGAACCCCTGGTCTAAGAAACAGTCAAATTAAAAGTAGCCTACAAACAGGAGTTGGCTCGACTTACCTCTCTGGCTCATCTTGTCCCTTTCTCCCCTCACCTAAGATTCCATCTTCTCTACTGTTTTCTTGTGTGTTGAGCTCCTCTTACCTCCTTCATGTTCTGTAGTTAGCTGTTCACAAGATGCTAGCTGGCGTCTACAGACTGCACTGGCGATGGCTAACTGCATAGGGGTTGGTTAGGTTAGCTTCTTCGATAATCACCTTAATGTGTGTTCTCCAGTACGCTCACTTGTCTGCACAATTGCCAGCGACAGGAACGTGGGCATCAAAGATTAAAATGAGACGTCACTATCAAGTCTGTGTATGGCTGGTGTCTTCTACTCTTTCTTAAAAGTTTGATTTAGGAAAGTAAGAGTGCTCCACCGCACTTCAACTTAATTGTAGGGAAGCTTATTTGGACGCTACCACACTATTTAGGCTAATCAATAAAACAGCTAAGCTACTGAAAAGCTTTTTGATTCAGAAATAAGCCACAAAGCTTTTAGAAAGATGTAGTTAAAATACAATTACGTTACTGCCCAACACTATTGTCTTTTACATATCCTGTAAAAAGTGATGCACATAGGTTTAAATGTTTTTACAAGCTCAAGGCTTTTATTATGCATAATTACAAGAAACCTTTCGGACACCTTATATGGTAAATATGAGATACAGATCCTATAATTACGAGATAAGGGGTCCAAAAAACGTTTGGTTTTTGGAGTAAATGCAATACATTTTTGTTAGCTAACATTACCCACATTAGCTAGGATCATACTTTGTAACACTAGGCAGTGGTTGTTTGCTTACGATAGCTACTGTCTGATGTTAGCTCAGGAGTTGTGAAATGTTGTTTTTGATTTTAAATACAGCCTGATGTTCCTCCAGATTTAAACTGTCACAACAGCTCCAAGTGAACACTGCCATTAGCTTACCTACATTCAGCTATATAACACAACTTTTAGCTAGCAAATATTACCATTTGCTAGGAATTTGTGAGTCACCGTTTAGTGTAACACTGTCAAACAGAAAATAAGTGGTTGTATGCTAATGTTAGCTGTTGTCTGGGGTTAGCTCATTTATCAAATATGTTATTTTGACTTAAAATATAGCCATTTAAAATATCACCATTTGTCAGATTTCCTCTTTGTGAATTTATTTTCATACCTGGAACACAGAAGGACACCATTTTAAGGCATTAAAGCCTCCACATCTCTGAGAAAATGGTAAATGAACCTCGTAGCTTATAAAACAACAAAGAGGCAGTTGAGGAGTGATCGAAACAACTTCCAAACAATAAAGCCTTTTTCTAAGTTCAAGGTTTCAGATGCCTGAATAACCAATAAATTACTGACCAATCCCTTAACAGTCACACAGTATGAGATTATTATTACAGTATGCATTTTTTTAAAAGTGCTACTGCAAGTCAACGGAATAAAGTTATCCCTTTCAGCCAGCCAACCATGGTGGGAATAATTAGATTGTGTAAAACGGCTATTTGAAAAGGATGCACATGAATTTTCAGATTAATGGCCTCGTATGCGGTCGACTCACACAAGCAGCGCTCACGACTGAGAAGTTAATGGTACAAGTTACTTTGAACAATAAATAATTGGGCTGAGAAGCCGTCAGTGCTCCCACTGGGATCTTAATTAGCTTATGAAGAAGTAGACAGGTTCATAGAAATGCTGTATTTTCTCTTGGATATGAGCAGACTTCAGTAATGTTACAGCATATAACAAATAAACAAGACTCTAACACAACGGAGTGCTGGAATAAATCATTGCTCCGTGTTTTTAAGTGCATGTGTTTGTGCTCAACATGTGCAGAGTGAGTGTGTGGAGAAGTAACAGGACTCCTAATTAGTGCTGGGTTCAGGGTGCTATCTAAATAGCTCAGTGTTGTACAGTACAAGCGGGGAGGGCTCAGATCCCCTCAATGCAGTCTGTCAGTCAGTGCTGACTCACTTTAAACAAGGACCCCTTTATTCATCTGTGCAGCCCTGTGCCCGACAGCCAGCTCGCTCCAGAACAAAAGGGCCCTATTTAATGCTAATTGGATGGTAGGCTGGTGTGTTCTGCGCTCACAGGGCTCTTTATTGCTTGCAGTGGCATCTCTTCGTGCAGTTTGAAATCGCGCAGCATCCTTTGTCTCATCTCTCCGGGGAGACATCAGTTGGCAGGCTCCTGTTGGCACCTCAAACCAGTGTCTCGCATCAGCCAGCGCTTCGAGCCGAACAAGTCGGCTTGTTTTGTGCTGTTGTGCTTTGATACTCTGTGGACGGATCACGCACATGGCTTATGTGTCCTCCAGCGGTGGACTGGTGTGTACCTCCATTGGTGAGTGGTGAAGAGCAGCTACTGTGCTGTGATAACATTTCTGACCTCGGCTATTGCTTTAAGAAGCTCTGAGGATGTGAATCCAAGGTGGAGTACAAAGGAAAAACCCCTCCTCTGAAACACAGAGATGAAAGAAGGACAAGTTACCAGCAGAACTTTTATTGACAAGAATAAAGCTTGGACCACGAACGAATATTTTTTTTAACACATATAGCCTTTCTTTACTCCACATGCATGTTTAAGTCACAAATAAATTTAGCGTTTGGAATGGCCTTCCAGTTTGAATGAGTTTAAGAAATATATACTTCTTATATTGTAGATGAGTAGACAAGGTAAAGAGTTAGGGAGATGATGATGTCTTCTTGCTGCTGTCTGTAACGACTATGTGCTGACACAACAAGAGCAATGGCAGACTGCTGGTTTTGTTTTGTTTATGCTGTAGTGCCTATATTTGCAGCACAACGCTCACAGTGACAATGCATGTCCAGTCCTTATTGAACATTTACATATTAGCATGTTAAATCCTATGTGTTTGTGTGGTCCAACTTATGCTGATAAGCACAAAATACTTAGTTTAGCTGATGATGAAAGATAAATAAGTATTGCTTGTGTTTAGTCATAAATCAGAGTACTTTAAATGAAATTTGGCCTATTGGTCAAGAGTGAGCGATTTATTTTATTTATTTGGGCTGAGGGAACATAGGATGAGGGAACATAGATGAGGGAACATAGTATGAGGGAACATAGGGCTGGGGGAACATAGGGCTAAGGGAACATAGGGCAGAGGGAACAAAGGGCTAAGGGAACATAGGGATGAGGGAACATAGGGATGAGGGAACATAGGGATGAAGGAACATAGGGATGAGGGAATATAGGGATGAGCGAACATAGGGATGAGGTCACATAGGGCTAAAGGAACATAGGGCTGAGGGAACATAGGCCTGAGAGAACATAGGCCTGAGAGAACATAGGGCTGAGGGAACATAGGGATGAAGGAACATAGGGATTAAGGAACATAGGGCAGAGGGAACATAGGGCTAAGGGAACATATGAGGGAACCTATGGGCTAAGGGAACATAGGGCAGAGGGAACATAGGGCAGAGGGAACATAGAGCTGAGTTAACATAGGCCGGAGGGAACATAGAGCTGAGGGAACATAGGGATGAAGGAAGATAGAACTGAGGGAACATAGGCCGGAGAGAACATAGGGCTGAGGGAACATAGGGATGAAGGAACATGGGCTGAGGGAACATAGGCCGGAGAGAACATAGGGCTGAGGGAACATAAGGATGAGGGAACATTGGCCTGAGGTAACATAAGACTAAGGGAAAATAAGGCTAAGGGAACATAGGGCACATAGGGTTGACCCCAGTTAAACTTGACTTTGTCATATCACTGTAATATATATCACATTGTGTAAAATATGAACATCTTTTTTAACTTTTAGTGAGGATAATTTAAAATGTTCCCCTTTCACCCATCACCTGGAATAACTGAGTGGAAATAAACTCATTAGCATTATTTTAAATCTCTGCTCTTACCTGTGATAGAATTCTGTCATATCTCCACATTAGGATCTGTAAATCCTTTCTTGCCCTCATTTACAAGCACAGGCTTCTCTGTCCGTGTGTGCCATACTAAAACCTGCCGGGAAAGAGGAGGGGAAGGAGAAATACTGTGTTATGAAACACAAAAAAAGGCGTTTTGCTCGCAGTGCAGCGCAGTAGTTCTCTATTTCATCACACCTGCTACAAAATGTCTGGAGGAAGAAAGAAGTGTCATTCATATCAGCTTTAATCTGACAGATGAGTGACGTTAAGAACAAATTGTTTTGACAGTCAGGGATCTAAAGAGTCATCCTCAGCGTTTACAGAAGCAGCATGTTGTGTTGCAGGTTCACAAAGGTTGCATCAGAGACCCTCCTGTTCTTACCTTGGTGCAGTTAGCAGCCTTAGGCTCCAGGTCGCTGAGAGTGACCAGCTCCTTTAATAAACTGCTCTCCTGATAGCCTCCCTTCACTCCTCGCAGTTTAAAGTAAGCCTGAGGTTTAGACAGGATGAGGTGCAGGTTCACTGCGAACCCGGCCATGTCTATAGCAAATGGCCGGTGTGGGTCAAATACAGTCTTCCAGCCGTACACCTTTCCGAAGGTGTTAACTTTAGGCGACTCATAACGAAGGCCGCCCACGAAGGCCACAGGCCACACTGACACCTTTTTAGTGGAGCGCATCTGGAAGTTAAAAAAACAGATAGAGAGGTGGAGGTCACTCAGGTGAGTCGTTTTAAATGTCATGAATGCTTCAGAGGTCTCCCTTTCTCCATCGGTTTTATTGGAAAAGGGGCCGCACAGGGGACACATGCACCCCCCCCCCGACTCAATGGAGCCACCAATTCAATTTCACAAACCAATAAATCTTAAACATTAAAGAAACGTGAAAAAATCTGCAGTGAAGGAATCTAACCAGAGTTGCCAAGACAACCCCATGCACGAAGACCAAATTTATTGGAACTATTTCTTGGTCTCGACTCGGTGTCAATCCCTCAATGTCTTGGTCTCGAGCCATAATTAAAACATTTAAAATGACTTGGTCTTGTCCTGGTCTCGGGTATGTCTTTGTCCTGGTTAGTTTGGTCTTGACTTCAGCACTACCTCCAACTATAGACTGTAACAAGTGGTTGTAGCAAAACTATTCTACCCTCATTCTCTTAAAAGGTTGAGGTTCATGGTTTCATAATCTTGTTTAAAGTCCTCTTAAATGCATGCTCATGTGACATGGAAACAACAAAATCCACCTAAACTTAAATCATGAAACCAAACCATAGACCACATAAAACATACATATGTATAAGAGGTGACTTACAGAAAACAAATAAGATCTGCCTTAAAGAAAGACTTTTTAGGGTGTACATGTCTGAGTCTGAAGGTCTGTAAATAGACCCCCCACCGCTTCTGTTATTATTATTACTTTGCTGTCTTTCTAAATTAGTTTTAACTTGTGTCTGTGTTGTTTTATGTGCCTCTTTTGGCTGTGTTCTCTGTTTACCAAAAGAGCTGAGCTATGCACACACACACATTTTTGTATTTTCTATTCAACAGTCGTAACTCTCTGTATTGATGTGGTGAAGTATGACTATTGCAGTAAAGTCAGCATGTTCATTTTGTACATCAATCAGGTTTAGAGTACGATGAAGTTAAATGATCTCTTTTAGGGCAGCAGTCCCCAACCTATTCTCCTTGGTGCCCCTCCTCCTGAAGTCTGAAAAGTTGAGCCCCCTGAGCACCCACTTGAAGAAAAAACTATCCAACACTGATGATCAACATAGTGGTTCGACCTCTTCTCTTATACAGTCTGAAACACTAACTAATTTATATTAGACCTGACGGCTCCTCCCTGACTAGCGTGACCAAAGTCACTCTCTTGCCTCCAAATAATTCAGAATGCCGCAGCTCTTCTTTCTGGTGTAACCTTCAACATCAGACACCATTACCCCAATCTTTGTTTTGACTGTATTGGCTTCCTGTTGGATTTAGAACTGCCTTTACAACTTAATTAATCTTCCCTGTGGCACCACTGGGTCCGTTTGAAGCCTCACGCCTATTCATAACCTGAAGCAATAAGCAGCGCCAATAAGACAGTTTTATCCCTTGTAGCACTGCAGCATCGCTCATTATACATCTGGACAATTTTTCATGCTTCATCTGCTGTGAAGACGCTCAGCTGCAATGCCAAGGCTTAAAACTCAAGCTGCCTCTGTCACCAGGTCTCCTAAGCTTTGGAGCAATCTGCAGGAGGAGGTTACGGCTTGCAGAATCACCTGCACGTTTTACATCACAGGTCTCAAATTCTACTGTTTCATTTAGTAGTTGCTTTTGTCCAAGGCGATGTACATAGGTCTAAGTAGAACAAAAGCAAGGATGGAAACAAGAGAAAACAACAAAGTGGAGCCTGTATGACTATGACTACCTCGTCAAACAGCTCCAGGCTGTAGGTGTTGTCATCGTCTGCAAAGTAGACGATCCCCGCCTGGCTGCTGTTCACGCCGAATGTCTCCCTGAGCCACCGCAGGGCCAGATTCCTCTGTATGGTACCCCGAGGTATTCTGGGATCCCTGGTGTCCCCTCTTACTTTATAGTTCCTGGGTGTCTCCACGTTGAGGTGGGTGTAGTTCAGCCCTGTTTCCTGCAGGAGTCGACTGACCAGAGCGCTCCTCCTCTGGGAGTCCTCCACTAGGATCCAGTGCAGGTTGGGGACGTGAAGCAGAGTGTTGGCCAGACGTGTCAGCTCGGCCTTCTGCACGGGTCGGCTGTAGGTGGGGGTGATGACGTGGATGGTGGGCAGGATGTCAGACCATGGAGGAGGCCGGCTGTAGACGTACTCAGTGCGCACCACCTCCACGATGTCCCGGTTCTGGAGAGAGCAGGACTCTTTGAAGGCAAAAGTGTTCCTGGAGCCGGAGCGACCATCACGTCTGTCATCTAACCCAGGAGAGGAAATGATTACAGTGAGCCTCAGTGTGCTGTCGAGTAGGCAGGGCAGCTTTATTCATATAGCACTTTTAAAAACACATTGGCCAAGAGGGCAGCAGCACACGTCATAATAAATATTACATGAAATGTAAATGTGTGTGCAGAAGTTTTACAGTATTCATTATCTGCAGTTCTATAATTTGTTCTGTTCCCTGAGAATCCACACAGACAGTTCTCTGAATACAAATAAGATAATTACTTTATTTTTTATGAAGCTATAAGAGATGTAAACTCTGTGACTGTTTTTAAAATAACAGTGACAACAATGCATTGTACTAGTTCTGAACATGAGTGCTGTACTGCTGCAGGTCAGAGCAATCAAAGAGCAAAGAGGGAGAGACGGGAAATCTTGCAGCTTAAATAGACTAATTAGAAAGAGGTGTTGTCAGGTGATTGTTAAGAATGAAGCATGTCAAGTGAAATCAGTGCAGCTCGAGTTGACTGCTTGAACTAACTTGCAGGCGTCACCTCGTTTGTTATTCCTTCAGTGTTTTTCTTATCTTTCTAATTTTTCATTGTTGTCATGTTTTCGTTTCTATCCCTATTTTTTAATATGTATTTGTTACTAGCATTATAATTGTTCTTGTGGTGCATCTATATAATTACTTTGCTTTATCAAATGGTTGAATATTTTTTTAAATGTAGTTTTGATGCATTTTCCTCATTCTTCAGTTTATTAAAAACCTCTTGGAGCTACTCCCCTCGTAAATAAACTGATTCCACCTTCTGCACGTTGAACCCTGCCTTCATATAACATGTGAATCTTCTGTACCAGAGGTCAGGACCCATTGGATCAGAGCCATACTTTAAGTAACAGAAGCACATTTGTTGCATGCTGGTCTGGAAAAATTAAAATGGATAATTTCACCTTTGCCCTTCCGAGCGGCGAGCAGAGGAGTGATGGCATTCTGGTGCCAAACAGTGATGAGCAGTGTCCACGGCAACACGATCAACACGATGGCGACGATGTCGCGTCTCTTCGGCATCTCCAGGATCAGACCTGAGTCATCGCACTACCTGCCAGGCATAAAAAACAAGAGACTGGTCACAAACACATGAAACCACAGAGATGTACACCAAGCTGTCAGAAGATTTTTAAATGTTGTTGAACTAATATCTTCTTTTATAACCAGTTAGGATTTTTCTTTTAGATTTTTTTTACATTTGACTAGTTTAATAGTTACACATTAAATGGATAACATGTAAAGCTCCTTTGAGGAGTTTTGTGTGTTGTTATGAAACTGTCTGAAATGAATACTGATGCCTCTTCATGACCTAGGAAAGCAAATGAGACCATCGGCATAAAGATCGTCTTTTTCTATATTGTTCTTTTTAATATCTGAAACTGTTGCAGCTAGGTACTGGTGTTGGACGACATGCTGCAGAAAAGTCTTTATTTACATTTTCAACTGCAAAGATTTCAAAACAGTGATACGTTTCACTGTTATAAGAAAATAGGATGAGATTTTTCAGTCATAAAACACTACTTAAAGGTAGAGGAAAAGATCAGCTACGGGATGAGATGTGCTGCTTTGTCCACAGGGGGGTGCTAACATCAACACAAACCAAAACATCCTCAAACTTCCACCACCAGGGGGCTCTCAAACAAAACAATAACAAAAGATCACTTCGAAGCTGGCACTGAATCATGAAATTGATTCTCTCAGCTACTACATCCCCACTGCAATGAAAACGAACTCTGAGTTGACCGAGTAAAAAGGAACGGGCAAAACTGACCTGAGGAAGAGAATGTGTTTACCAACGAGCTAATGTAGCCGAGTATAATTTATATGAAGTTTTTATCACAGCAGCACATAACAGTAACAGAACGACAGCTTTCAGAAGCAGCTCACGCTCCCTTATGTTGTGCTCTTTGACGTAACATATAGTGTTTCCATGGCAACAATAAACATTTCGGGCAGAAACATTGATTTGATGGAGAAAGGGAGAACATGTCATTCACCAGAGTACATTCAGAACTATCGTAATTTCTAAAGGATTCGCTGCTTAAGGGTTTTTTTTTTTGCTTTCTGTCCTCAGCTCATGAATGGATGAACTGGTTGACTGAGTTTTTTCAGTCTAATGGCCCATCACGTTACGATCGCGGTCTTCTATTATCACACTGTTGCTGCAGGGCACAAACTACCAGGAAAGCCTCATCAGACGGAACCTGCTGGAGCTGCTGCTCCAATGAAAATAGGTCAGAAAAGACTATGAACTCTCGTTTTTTTTGTCATTTGAAAATACGCTGGTGAGCAGGGAACATTTGAGTAAATTATTTAAAGAAGGCTACAATGCGGCTGAAAGGCTCCGGCCAACACTGCCTGGAAACATTCTGCACAGACGGAAACGTAATGGACTGACTCTGGTGTGTGGGTTCAATGAAACCTTAAATAAGAAATGATTCATCCCAAAGGCAGAGACTGCAAGGCCTTTATTTCTAATTTCCTGTTTCCAGCCTATAAAAACTTAAATCAAAGATTTTCTAAGATAAGAAAAGATGAGACATTATTGTGCCAGGTTGCTCCAACATTACAGAACAGAAAAGAGTAAGACAAAATAAAAGATAGATGCAAAAAACATATGAAATGTATTATAAAGTATTCAGTAGAGGAAGAAGTAGAAGTTTGATATGTTAAGTGACAGACTAAATATGACCTTATTGACAGTTCAAACCACAGACTGTAAATATTAATGGATGCAGCCTGAGTGATGTCATCCATCTGTTACTGCAGGGGGCTCATCGGCAGCAGCCGGCATGCTGGAAATCCTGTCTCAAGCTAACTTTCAGTCAACTTAACGACATGCTGAGAGCTGGAGCTGAGGCGGGTTTTAAGCCTCTTGTCAAACCGTTACATCGCGCCCACCTGTCAATCATCTCAGCTACACGCCTAACTATGGATCACATGTATCGTTCATAACATAATCAACATCATCGGATGTATTACAAAAAAAATCATCCCTGTACAGTGTGTGCCCATGAGGACAATATCTTAACAGACCTATTTCATTTTTTCTACCAGGCTGTAAATGTTAATTTCTGCTGTAAAAACAACTTTTTTGAACAAGTGTTTTTGTGACTTTCTGTGCTTCTGCAGCCAGCCTCAAGTGGACACTCGACGAACTGCAGGATTTTGCACTTCCTCATTGGCCTCATTTTCCAGACAGTCCCAGGCTCAGTTTATGCAAGCTGTCTCGCCTTACTGATAAATCTAATGTTATATTAATTTCCAAAGAACTACCATCCAATGTTTAGAAATACATTTCGACATACCCGACAGAATCTTCAACAAAAACAATCTGTAGCATCAGCAGTCATTTAAAAAAAAAAAGAAATGTTTAGTCATGATAAATGTTTCCTCATGTCATTCAGGAGTATTAAAACATCACCATATGAACCACCATGTCATGTTTGTTTGTGGATCAGCAGGGGGAAAAGACACTTTATAGTAGCACACTATTGGATCTTACCTTTGTTCATATCCATCACACATGGTCAGCTGAAGGGCGGAGGCCTGGAGAAGAGGAGGCTGTGTGTTTCATTCGATAATTCTGCAGAGACAAAACAGATGTAGCATTAGAGTCTGTGTCTAACAAGCCTGTCATGAATCACAGGATAGCGCTGAAGAAATGTTTTTGTTATTAAATCTATTTAATGAAAAGTCTGTCTCTTGTTTATGTGATCGGCGGTTCATTAACATGTTTTTCTTTGATTTGGGTTTATAAAAAAAAAAAACACTAAAGAGTTATGATTCTCTGATTGGGTTTCTCTGCATGTGTTGAATGTTTTTTATTCATCATGGGAGCATAAACAATCGATTCATCCACAGTATTTTGGAGCTTCAGGTTTGATTCATCACCAAAGGGTTAAAGTCTGTTCAAGGCATTTTAATTCCAGGTAGTTTTTCTTGGTTCTGATTTCAGGAGGGCGGCTCTGGTTGTTCACATTTGCACCTCACAGCGGGAGACTTTCCCTGTGAGACGGGATGGGGGGCGGGGGGTCTCCTGAGGTAAGACATGACGCAATGATGCAGAAGTGTTGGACTAAGGAATAGAGTGCTGTATGATCAGAAGAATATTTCTATTTATATCAATGCTACGTTTAGCTCGACAGAATCACAATATGAACAAAAGAGTGGAGAAGAACAAAGTGGTGAACAGGAAATGTAATGCAGCAGTTTAATAACGTGCACAAAGATCACACTGTGTGTTCAGACAGTCCGTGCACAGTGCAGTGATAGCAGGGAATAAACGTCACCACCCCCTCCCAGCCGCTCAAGGTGAATTCTCCTGATAATATCCTGCAGCGTTCTCACATCAGCTCATTCGGATTTAATGCAGGAAAAATACTAGCGGACCGTCAGGAGAAACTCTGGGTGAAGTCTAAGTGAAACATTCGGCTGTTTTGTGTTCACACATGCAGCTCCTCCTGAAAATTTTAAGGAGCTTTTCAGAAGTTTTGTGGTACGTGTGTCTATTTCTCACTTTGCTCTGTGATTGTTCATTTACTGAAGGTCAGAAGTCAATGATACAGGATACTATTTTATTTCAAACCTGTGTTGAAAGAGTTAAAACTTCAAGCCTCCAAAATCGTTGAAGTTTCTCTAATTTAAAACAATGCCAAAAACATAAAAAGTACACTTAAATCAAACCAAAAAATACTATATATGGTATGTATATTAGTACAGTGAAAACAGTTGCACACTTACAATTTGGTTTATTTGCATCCTTTAGTATCTGAGCTCAGATATAATCACACTAACACAGAATTGATTCTGCTTCTGTTTCTCGTCATGAGCTGGATCCCCTGCTGCTTAATCACCAGTCTTTAGACATAATTAATCCTTGATTAAAAAGGATCAACCTCACTCTGAGATCAAAGGTTGTGCTCACTAATTAACACGTCAGGTCAGGTTTAATGGGGTCATATTGAAACAGTGTGTCATTTATACAGACAGGCTAATTAATAATGCAAATCATACTGGAAAGAAATGACTCACTCTCCAAGTCCTTCGTTTTAAGGGACTGAAGGGTAAACACAGCCGTTTGGAGTGAGGGAATAACTTTGTTACTTACCAACTTTTCATTATAGCAGTTAAAAACATTTACTCCTGATATTTCCCTCAGAGCCAAAAAAAAAGTGTCAGCTTGGCTGGATGCCTCTTATTCAACACTAAACACCAAAGTCAATCTGTTTCTCTATGAGGAAGTGACTTGCGACAGAGCCGCTAAATGTCAGAATGAAAGGTGAACCTATTGAACAAGAAACAGAGGTGAAGAATCTGGGGATCATTTGTTCCTACACACATGCACAAACATGATCCTGTAAACATGCACTGATGGAGAGATGTCAGAGTGAGAAGGCTGCACACAGCGAGCAAATAAAACAAAACACAAGCATGGTAAAAAGCAGTTAAGAAGTTGTGTCAATCTGCTGGGTAATTTTATTATTAATGAAGACTAAGAACTAAACTGTGTGTCTGAGGGGAGCACTGCAGTGAAAAGAAACATTCCTGTCAATCACATCCAGGGAGCTTCCTATCCTGAAGGAGCGTGATCCCGGCGAGCGAGCTGATTGGATCTCAGGTTTTAACTGTGTCACTGCAACCAGCAGCAGCATCCAAATGTCTGGTGGGCAGCAGTGACGTGACATCATTCAGTCACTTGTGCTTTACTTGATCTTTTACACCAGCGGAGCCAACAAATGCCCAAACTGTGTTTGTCACTACGAGTTATTCAACACAGAAAGAACCTCAAAGTCTATAGTTTAGATTAGGCGTTGGTTGGTGTTTCACTGTCCCATGACAAATCTTTGTTTGTACTTTTATCATTTAATTGAGGCCACATTGCAATCAGCCAGATCCAAACATTTGATCCAAACAAGCACAAATATATAATTAGTTTATGGCAGGGAAGGAAACTGGATCTCAGGACGCTCCTTTAATAAAAAAAATTAACAGTGCTTTCAAAAATAAGGGAACTAAAATAAACAAATGAGCTCCAAGATCAAGGCGCTAAGGATGAATTTATTTCCATCATTAAAATAAAAAAAGACCAGTGAGGAAAGTGGAAAAATCTCCATTTCCGTTACAGAATCTGAGTCTTTAATGGAGAATATTGACACAGGAAATAAGATGTGAGACATCAGCAGGTAGAAACTCAAACTGTAGAGGTGGATGCTAATCGATACAAGACCTGGTTTGCATAAATATGACATCTTGGTTGAAGGTGGACATACTGAAGTGTGTTGCTTTGTATTTAGGAGCTGTCGACTCAAATCTCAACACAGGTCAAAGTTCAACATTTCAATCACGGATGTGGATACATTTTATGAACCATCATCTCCCCTTTGTACAACAAGCTAACACGCTCTGTTAAGTGAGAAAAGCTAGTGTCAGTTCCTCATAGAGCAAACCTCTTTCCTCGTCTTTATATGTGAGCAACACAGAGGAAATTAGAAATGGGGCGTTGTAAAAACGCGTTGCTTCACGCAGCGTCGCTTGCAGGACACTCCAATAGGACACAATAGATTCAGGATGATGTTGTCCCTGACGCTCACTTGTGCCACATGCTGTTAGGACAGGCTGTAAGATGGATTTATTTATTTGAATGTAAGCCTGAGACATAACTTGGGTTGTATAAAAGCTGTTTAACATGACACCATGACACGGATAACATTACGTTGCATCTGTTTTGAATAATATCTGCAGGGATGTACACTCTGCTTCTTGCTTGGTCACTCTCTCTTTTTTTTCTCTTCTTAGCTTCATCTGTCTCCGTCCTCTTAGCCTCAGTCATTACATCAAACTGTACAGAGACGGGCTAACTGGATAGTACCTTAACTTCTTCCTGCCAAACTTACATCATGCTTAAAGACCTGGGTGATCTGCAGACACGGGAGATACGCTGTTCACAATGATGAAAGTAGTTGTAATATTAGATCGACTTTGAAACTCCTCATCTAAGGTGGAAACATATCGTTGATTAAAGTTTACCAGTAAAACAGGGAACCTGAGACAACATGACAATGTTGAGTTGACCTTCTCCTCTTTGCTTTCTGCAGCTATAGATGATGAATGATGACTTTACTCAGCATGATGCATTGCAATCCTTAAACTTTGTCTTCATCTTTAAAGATTTGAGGCATGATTGCATCTTATGTTTGACAGTAAGTTCATTTCGATGCATCAACATTACCATGCAGTGGTTTGTTTTTCTGCTGTGGAGACTCAGCGGTGACCGTGTTGTATTCTTTGTGTGTGCAGGCGACTGAACCATGAAGCTAACTCAAGTGTTACCTGTCAAAACAACAATCAACCACCTCTACACACTCTTTCCTGTGAAGAGACCAGCTGTCTGTCCAGGAAACTTCTAGGAAATGGTCTTTATATAGCACACATGTTGTAATTACTCAGTGTGTTGATTGCCCATAAAAGGATGATTGGGATGTTATAAAAGAAATAAGCAGATCCTCGATTCACAAGCCATACGTCTGTGTCTGATTGTTCAAGAGCATTTACTCATCCCCAAACTGACCTCAACACATTAACTCTCAACTCAACTTGTGTATGTTTGTGTACCGGGCCATGATTGCGCTCTCAACAGGGAGGACTTGATAAGAAATGACTATAAATAAGCAGTCATCATGGAGCACATGTGGACCCGGAGTCAAGGCTGAAGTGCTGGAAACAAGACTCAGGTCTCCATCAAAAAGCTAATGATTGCACTCGAGCGCTCCCTAATGACCGACCCTGACTGGATCAAAGAGCGAGGAGGAGGAGGAGGCATGATGCGGAAGATAGAGCCAGCCTCGCTCTGCGCTTACAAAGCTTCTTACTGTGTGTTTGAAATGTACAGCACAGCTCATGAAAACTATAAATAGGTCTCTCTGGATATCAAAACTTGTCTTTTAAATCCTGTTTCAGCTGGGAGATCCATGCTAATGCTGTTTGCTAATGACAGGATAAAGACAGGGGCTGATCGGGGCTCCGAGGTGGATTCAGACTGAGAGATTCATGATTCAAGTTAAAACGACCCTGGGGGAGAGGAGTGCACAACAAAAGACAGGCACTGTAATATTGGATGCAGATTAACAGCTTCAAAGATGCAGACCCAGCACACTTATGATGACCTCCTATACCAGTGAAGATCTTTACATTTTATCCTGCAGGTTCAACCGTCCAGCACTGAAACAGCTCACATAACTTTTAATAGCAGAATATATTGAGAAGTCATCCCTCCACAAAACATTAAAGCTCCTGTGAGGAGATACTAGCAGGTAAGGAAATGGACTGAAATGAATAGTAAACGAACTTAAGCTTGTATAGCGCTTTTATAGCCTTTGACTACTCAAAGTGCTACACATTCACACATGGTGGTAGAGGTTGCTTGATGTGAAGTGGCCATCATAAGTAACTTATCACATTCATACACACTGACGAAGTTGACAAAGCAGCATGGGCAACTTGGGGTCTTTGGACATGTAGCTGCTGGAGCTGGGGATCGAACCCCGGTTGAGAAACGACCTCTTTATGACCTACAAAGAATACTGATTATTTCTATAAAGATATTCTTATTTCCTTAGAACAGGTAGCTGTCACTAAAGTGTCCATGAAATGATTTTTTTTTTAAATCCAGCGTTCCTGTTAAATGTTCATTTATCTGCCAAACATATTTCAGTAAAGAATTATCTGAGTCATTTTACATCAAAATAACTCTACTTTCTCTTCTAGTAAAACATTTCAAACATCTTATGACTCATCCTACACTCATGGGGCGTTTACTCATTTTCAACCAATCCAATCAAATCCATCCCAACATTATGTCCCGCCTTCCATTGTTTGATTGGTTCTTCCCCCATTTCAGTTGAAAATAGTTCACAACACGACAGATAGATACTGTCCAAGTTCCTTTTCATGGGGACAATAAACATGCAACGTTTATCTTCATCACTTTCAGTGAAATGTTCTTTTTTGTGGTATTTTAATGACAAATTATTTGTATTGAACATGAGGTTCAGTTACCTTTACTGTTAGAAGTCTCTTAAAATGAAACAGCTTTTATATTTAAAGTATTTTACGCATCCTATACACCATACATCAAAGGCAGAGTCAGTAACCTTTTCCTGAAAAAAATTAATATAGATTTATATAGAGAAATATAGACTATAAAGTAAGTTTTATTATACTTTAAGTGATAGAAATATAATCTTTAGTGATGTCACTGAAGAGGGAGATTAACAGAATATTTGAAATCCTCATTAGTACCATTTTTATTCAGGAAATTGTTATTACCGGTAATTAATCCCATAAATCTGAATGTTGACTCGTGTATGTGCGTGCAGGACATCTACAGGTAATCTGATGTGTGCTGTTTCTGCTGTTTTCACTTTTCCTTTAAATCTGTGTGAGATGCAGAAATGGAGACTCGCTGCACGGCTCGTTGTGAATTCTAAAATTCAGGTGCAGTGGGGTTTTTTCTTTTTACGGATGAGTCTCTGTGAAATTCTTCTAACTAAAGTCACAGAAACTTCAGAAGTTTTCGTCTCGGCTGCTCTCCTGCAGGTGCTGCTCCAGTTTTGTATTCTGTTCTGTGTTTTGTGGCTCAGGCTAAGTTACTTTTATTTTACCTGAGTTGAGCATTGACCCTGAAAATTATAAACACTGGACTAATAGGCTGGAAAATAATCGGAAATAAACCTGAATGAGCATTAAATGCGTTTGTTCCCTTATTTAAAGATCTTTGATCAATGTATTTTTATTTGATGTTTTTAACTTAAAGGAGCGATATGTAACTCTGACACCTAGTGTTTAAAATGGGTTCTGTGGTCTTGGATGCCCGCTTCCATCACTGCAACACCTGTTGGTTTGACCTGATAACTGCTCTCATATCTGGCAAACTGAGGGGCGTCCAAAACAGCCGTGTGGGGGGTGCCTTAAAACCGCCTACCTTCTCTGGTCCAAACAAATCCAGAGCATTCAGGACCAGAATCTAAAGTTAGAAGGAGGACATACTGGCTGCTGCATTGTTGTCAGAGAAGCCAGCACTTCAACATAGCATGTTTGACCATACAGTAAGGTCACTTTATCATTTCACTCACTACATATCTTACAGATTGCTCCTTTAACATGTTGTTTGCCCTGTTTTTCCTTGCTTTAAATTTACTAGTACTTTATGCCATTATTATTTTCTTTCCACTGTTTTGTCTTAACACATACAGTAGTTCATGTTTTCATTCTTTGAGATGACAATAGGTTTGGTTTGTTATTGATATATCATTACAACTTGATATATATTATGCTCATAATAAAAAATTTTGTTTCAAATTATAATATAATATATATTATTATGATAATTATTCATTATCGAATGTCTATTTGCATGTGCATTGTTCCTTTTCCTTCTCTTATTTTGAAAAGCACAAACAAAACGTGTATTCTGTTGATCGTAGTGGCTCTGATAAAGGATGATTTTCTAAAAAATAACAACTTTTCCACAAACCCTGCTACAAATAAATACATGAACAATCGAGAGGCCTACTTACAGAGCTGTGTGTTATTGCTCTTTGGTCTCACAGTGTAATCCTGCCGGGTCTCTGCGTTAATGATGATGCTGCTGTCAAAGTTTCAGGTCCTTGATGTGTCAGCTGAGATGAGCAGAACAATCCATCAGCTTCTCTTCCCGGGGAGTTGGAGCGTGTTTGGCGTACATCTGAGCAGCAGAGTTTGGGTTGACAACTGGTGGATTCGGTTGTCAGCATCCGGTGGGCGCTGCTATTCAATCCTGGGGTCGGGTCTCGTCCTCAGTGCCGGCCCCTGCAGAGACAGAGGAGGTCATCCCTCTGGAAGAATGCTGCTTCTCTTTGCAAAAACAAAGACTGGGATTGTCAGAGCTGATGGCGAGGGGACGGGGCAGAGGGGCAGCCATGGCCAGAGGACTTGGGACAATAGAATAAATCACATGAAAAATGTCACAGCCACACAAATGGAATTCTTACTGTTGGATGAAGCCCGATTGGAGAAATTAATAGAGTTGTGCATAACGTGGGAGTTGTTTATCTGATGCACAAACAGCCACAGTCACATGGTCCACTAGTCAAACAGTAAGGACGTTTCTATTCAGTTAGCTTTCATTTCCTGACAGGCATATGAAAAGAGTGCTTTCTGAATAGACTCCTGTGCTTGAAAAGTGTAATAAAGGGAGAGGGTAAAAATATGCCTTCAGTCTACAGAGCTGCACAGATGGAGAGGAGGCAGCACGCCTTCAATCTGTAATTAAGGAGGACGGTTAGAGTTTGGCGTGTGACAGAAAGTGTAGAGGCTCTAAATGAAGCTGTTATGAGCGGCTGGTACTGACGATCGACCGTTTAGGGTTTTGGAACTAAAATCCCACCTTCCTCATATAGTCTTAGAAATGTTTGTTTGTTAACCAGCATGGAAGCATCCTGCATTATGGATGTTGAACATTAACACACCAATCTTTGCAGAAAATCCTAAGTGCATTACTGTATATGTAAGCCACGTAACACTGAGTAGGGAAAACCATGTGGCCAGTGTTCAGCCCGCTGTTTGCAAACTGTTGCAGAGTGGAGTATGTGTGAATTTAATCCTGGCAGTAAATTATAGGATGGGGCTAACTGGCTCTGCGTAAACCGTTAAGATGTTTACACAGGCTCTCTTCTCCCAGTATGGAGAGTAGACCTTCCCCGGCAGCCCTGCAGCGTTCTGTCCCTGGAGGGGGACAGCAAGCAATCAGAAGAAAGTGGCCACGTCAGGAGAAAGCAGCTGAAACGACCTTTCAGACAGAGGCTGAAATTGCTTTAAATCATGCAAAGCTGCTCTATAGATTTCCAAGACCGACAACATGAAAGATGAAAATTAAGATAATATGTGTTTAAAGGAAGAATGTGTGACTTTTTGATCCAGCAATGTCGCCCTTGAGCACCAGCATGAAACCAAAACAACTCGCGCTGCATTGTTGTGTTAGCATGCTAATGCTAGCGATCTTTATTATGCTCGTATCTTCACACTGCATGTAAATTTACAGGAAATGACCGTGATCTAAAAACGCTAATGTGACATTCAAATAAGCAGTGAGTACAGTATGTTATTCTTCTTTTCTCTAGTCCCTCAATTAAACAACTTTTATACGCGAGGGTCGGCCGGCCGTCCCTCATGTAAACACGCTGTAGATACGGCTCAGAAAATCACAGACAGCGGGACAGTCATGACTCAGAGTTATTTTCAGAGGATATATTTGATTTCTGCTGTATTCATGTGTAAAATGTTACATATTCAGCCTTTAAGGTTCATCAGATAAATGTAATCTCTAAGATGTGTTTTTGCTAACATGTTGCCTGCATGCTAGTACTAGCCGTTATGAGAACTTTCCTTTTGCTGCTTTTTGCAGCTTTCTTGCCCCAAAGTGGGCGACAAATCAGGCAAAGCAATTGTTAAAAGTTAAAAAGTGCTCAACAATTTTAACCAAAAAAATTACTTATGCTTTTAGAATGGCCAAGAAAAATAGATCGTTTTTGGACAGATCTTGTGTCTTTTGTACTTAACATCCACAAGCATCCATGACCAGTCACAGTAATACACAGTATTCAGCAGACCTCTGCATGCTAAACTTTCCCCTTTGTTATAAATGAGACTGTAGCTCAAGTTTAATCAAATTATCGTCTTACAAAAGCGGTCAGGCCAGCAGAATATCTACCTCTGTGTCCTCTGTTTACTCCTCTATCTCTGCTTCTTTACAATCACGATTTCCCTTTCAGTAATCAACGTGATGTGTTTCGTTATCTCAGCATCGTTTCACATCCGTCAGCTTCAACATTTCTCTATAGTCTGTTTGGTTATGTATGTACCTGATCACCAGTGTGGCTTTTCACTGTCTGACTCTGGAAATAATCTGTGTGTTCATGCACAGGCTGCCGTTATTAGGCTGCAGAATAAGAATGTGGATATAAACATCCTTTCAAGACCAGCAGCATTAGTGGCATTTAGATCTGCAGTGTGTTGAAATAAAATGTGCTCGTTAACAGATTCATTGTGAGAGAATAACCGATCACAGCTCAACACCTCCTCTCCAACTGGTGTCTTCATATGCAGCAGAAATGCAACACCTTCAATCGACCGCAGAGGAATCATTTCTAAACCTCTCATCATGGTGCTACTGTGTCCTCACATAACACATGATAATAAATAGCAAGAGGTTTGAACAAAAAGACACACTTGAGAGAGAAGATACAGAAGTTTGATCCCAATATAAAGTGTTTTGCACTTTACTATTAATACACCCACTTTTGAAGGATGTAACATAATAAACGACTCTGTCTGCATCAGTAATGTAGCATTCAGTGTTTGACAGATGGGACATTAACGAGATGATGATGCACTCTCAAAGGTGTCACATCCTGAAGAAGAAGAAGAAGTGGAGGTGTGCTATTAAAATGCAAATCATTAAAAGTCAGATTCAATTAAATGCTTTTTATTCATGGATGTGGAAATATGAATGTGTAGGTGATGAATAACTGTGAGGTGTCAGTCGTGTATTCTCCAGGCTGATAGTTTTATTTTGAAAAGTCGACTTGGTGATAATTATTGGCTTTTCGCTGTGACGTCTCTATCTCTGCTGATGTCTCATTTTATATTGACTTTGTTCGTTCACATTGGTTGACTCAAAAACGACGACAAAACAACATGTGATCTCTCCTAACTCGTCAAAAACAGATGATGGTCGGAAGCCCTAAGATTAAAATGTCAACTAGAATACAAACCCCTGACTGTGGAGAACACAGATTAAAGGAGATCTATTAAACTCACTTTCACCATTAATGATTTCAGTCTGGGACACCTATTGAATAGTGTGACTTTGATAATGATTGTGACTTATAGTCTAGCTCTGCTTGCTCCTGCAATACACACACACAGACATACACACAGACACACACACGCACACACACACATACACATACACTTTGATCTATCATCAGCAGTCATCCCATGCGTCTCTGATATCAAATATGAGAATACTAAAGCTAAAGTATGTGATATTTGGTGTTATAGGTTTACAAAAAGTAACCCATTTGAAAGACTTTCTCCTTTTGAAACAAACAGATGAGTGAGAGAACGTTTAATCGTTTGATTTGTGGCTAAATGAAGTCACAGCTTTGTACAGTGAAGATGTTAACAAGTACAGACGGTGTGAAGTCATCTAACATTTCAGTGAAAGTGTTAATGAGCACAGATCACACGGAGCCAATACAGCGTTTCACAGCTCCAGCCAGAAAAATGTTCCCACTCATAGCACTGTTTACTTTTGTTACAAGGATTATTATTATATATAATACCTATTTTCTAACGCCATCTTTTATCATGGACGCTCACATCAACATGTGAATTGCTTCTGGCTGTCCCAAGGTCGAGATTGAAGGTCAGGGGGGACCAAGACTTTTCAGGAGCAGCAGCAAAGCTCTGAACGCTTTGCCTCTACATGTTTGTCTGTCCGAATCGAACCTTAAAACACATTATAATATGTTATAATATAATGATAATATATTTAACATATTATACATGAACATGTTCTATATAAATACATTTGGATTAAACTGGATTGAATATTGGCTCGGCTGAAATAAAAAACATCTCCACACTAATATATGATAAATGGACTTAAGCTTGTATTTCACTTTTCTAGTCTTCTGTCTACTCAAAGCGCTTTTACTCCACAGGTCTCACCTACACAGTCACACACTGATGGTAGAGGCTGCTGAGTAAAGAGACCATCAGAAGTAACTAGTCCATTCATATACATTCATACACCGCAGTTTGGGGTTGAGCGTTTTGCCCAAGGACACATCGAACATGTAGCTGCAGGAGCTGGGGATCGAACCCTCGACCTTCCTCGACCTAGCCTCAGTCTGAAGTCTTGTTTTATCCTATAAAGAAAATGTTGCCAGTCACAGTATATTTGTGCAATTCAAACATTATGAAGGAGTTTGTCTGTGTTTTTTTGGTTATTTACCCAATTGAATTCTGAAACTCTCATATTGTGTCGACCCTAGAAGATTATACCATTCTATATCATATTATCTTTTCATTGTTACATCAGTCTTGAAGTACAGTTTCATTCATTTTACGTTCCAGTGATTTAAACAGTCAATTGAATGACACTTGCATTTATATGGATCTAATTTGAGAAGCTCTGAGCCGCCTTGTTGTGCTGGAGGTTAAAATCACGAGACCAGATCAAATTGAGCTCATTGACATTTACAATAAACAGGTGAGCTGTAAAAAGCATGCCATACTGAAGTGCCTTGATCGTCTTCATGCATGAGGAATCCAATCTAATAATAATAAAATCTAATTTTCTCAATCTCAAAATCTCACACTCTCATTATCGAAGCTATTTCACAGTGAATTTTTTTTTTTTATTTATTTGTTTTGCATTTTCTATATGTAAAAGAGAGATATTTCTTTACATTACCACATTTAATTAATTCAAATTTTTTAGCTTCTTGTCAAATTTAAATCACATGATTTAAACTTTAATAGCATGCAGAAAGGATAGTAAATCTTTTTGCCCTCTTAAAGGTCACATATTATGTAAAATCCACTTCTCTATGTTTTCTAACATATGTGTCTCTTGTCTGTCTACAAACCTCCAATTATGAGAAAAGTTCATCCGTCTTTCCCCTGCTCCACTTTTCAGAAAATGTGTGCTCAAACAGGCCGTTTGGAGATTCTCCCTTCATGACATCACAAAGGGCAGTAACCCCTCCCCCAGGTGGGTGACACTCCCACAGCTAGGTGTT